AATATTTTCCGCTGCTGGCTGCATGGTAACGACACGACGGACGCGGCTCAGGACTGACGTGATCTCTGCCGCCCAGACGATTAGATCGTGGGTGAAAGCCGGATTGACGGATGATTATGACGGAATCGCCCTTCGAGAGGCAGGCATTAAGGCGCTTGAGGATGAGATATTGCTTCAAATTGAAGGTGGCATAGCATGAGGTGACCGGCTTGTGGCTAGGTAGAAATGTTCAGCAGTCGTGAGCGTCCTGTTATCGGAACATCTTTCATCCGCTAAGCATGAACAATCTACGTGAATGGTATCTACGTTGATAGAATAGCTCTTTATTCTATCAACTCTATCTCAGTCCAGCTGACTAATCCATCTATTCTATCTACTTCAAGGGTCGCGTGGGTAGAAGTGGCTAGATGCAGAACCCTGTCTGCGGGTCGCAGGACTCTGTTTCCCGTCACATTCACAAAGGGACACTACGACATCAGTCACTTCGACTCTTGCGCCAATCTTACCAACCCTCGCGGGTTTGTGGACTTAGGTTGGCTATTCGTCTTCGAGTGTTTTATATCGGTGTCTGTCGATGTTCCAGGACGGTCACAGGGAGTCGAGCTCTATCTTCCGTGTGTATTTGACCAGCCCTTGAAGCCAGGTTCTCTCTCGGTTCTTTTCCTTACTCAACACCTGCCAATGGAATGTTCCGACTTTAAGATTATTCCCTGTTACTTTGAAATTGTCTTACGGAACGTTCAGGTTGATTGGGAACGTCATGTTTATCAACGAGTTGGGATGGTGGAAGGTATTCCGCGCTATTACGGAGCGCCTGACCAAGGTGCCCTGGACGTGCTGAGGCTTTATACTGAGGCCGCAGCTGCATTCTCCGAGCTTGTTCCCGACTTTAGAGAATCCACTCTTTCCGTTGATCCTACAGGCAGCCATCACTTGGCGCCAGTTGGGTTGTAATCTTTTCCGAAGTCTCTTATCACTCTAGTTAAGTGTTATGCCTGGCTCAGCGCCTCCTTTGGTTGTCTTTACATCGTCTTTTGGTTTCGGGTGGTCTCGGACCAAGAGGTGTCGTCGTGACCGACCATGGCGCACCCGGTGGGAGGCTTCATTACCAGCTACTTTCAGGTGACAGAGGCCAAGTGATACCGGAAGGCACGATGTAGAGTAGCCCCGCTGCAAAGGTCTGTGCGCGCTCAGCACCTCCATGCCAGTTTATCTTGCATGTAGGACGCGCGACACCGACTTCTCTGTCGGAATCTTCATCCTTCTTTCCAACAATTCAGTTACACCCATACCATGCCATCCCTCTGGTGCCTCCTGCATCACCAAGGGACAGGGCACAAAGCTGAGCTCGGTGGCATCCAGGTTGCCGTCTGTGCCGGTACTAGCTTTTTCATTGCTGTTATACTGCGCTGGGGGAAGACGATGCGTGTCTGGGTAGCGTCTGAACTTCGCAATCGTAACCACCTGAAGGAGTCCAATGGGACTCTTCCTGGCCATTGAGCGGAAGTCGTGGAACCTGAAGGGTGGGGGTGATCAATGAAGTTGCCGTGGTGGTCATGGCTAAATGACAAGGAGTCAACTACAATGCCACGGGGTTGCCAGCTAATTTGTACATGTACCAGTAGCAAATCCTTCAACCCCATTATAAACCTTTCTCCTTTACTCCCTCCGGCACGCCAATCTCCTTCTCCTCATCCACAACCCCCTTCGCCATCCCTTTCCTCCTCATCCTCAACCACCCCAACCTCTTCAACTTCCTCGCCTTCCCAGCCGCCGGAATCTCTCCCTCATCTGCACCTCCAACCTCATCGTCCCTCGTCACCTGAAAATCAAACGACGCCCTCGACCGCGTCTGATTCGACCACCGCTCCATATCCGCCAAATCATCCTCCATCGACCCATTCCCCACCAACCCCGACCCCTGCTTCCAATACCCGGAGTCAAGCGACTTTTTTCTCTTGTTGGCCACCTTCCGCTTCGACGACATGAGATTCATATTCAAACCCATTCCACCTCGCTTCCGCCCTCCAAGTCCGAAATCCTTCCTCTCCACCCCTCCACCAAACGGACCGCCCCCATCCCCCGACTCACCACCACCACTACTACTATGGCCGCTATCACTACTGCTACTACTACTACTACTCAACCCTTCCATCTTATCTTTCCTCCGCCTCCTCTGATCCCTCGCCCTCGCCCGCCGGTGCTTCTCCGACCCGCACCACGCCAGCACGCACACCAGCCCGCGCAACACGCCCATGCTCGCCTTTGTGCGGTAGTACCGCAGCGGGTAGTCGCGCACATAGCGGTCCTTCCAGCGGTTTTCGTGCCCGCCGCGCCGGGCCGACATCAACCGATACCGTCGATATCGCCAGAGGTTGCGGAGCAGTGGGATGGTGCGGTGGAAGTGGTACCGGCCGAAGAGCGGCGCGTAGCGCGGGGATTTACCATTGTTGTCGCTGTCATCGTCGGAGATGCTGCTGTTGTTGTCGTTGTCCTTGTTGTTGTGGTGGTAGTATGCCATGGTGAGGTTGTCGTTGCCGTTGTTGCGTGACGCGGCGCGGTTCGTCTTGAAGCCGTAGCGGTTGGATGCCGCGGTGGCGAAGCTGCGGCGGTCGATAAAGGTGCGTTCCTCGTCCGAGTCGTGGTCGGCCGTGTCCTTGGGGAGCGGCGGGTTGAGGGCTGTGTCCGGGTCTTTGAGCGCCTTTAGCAGCTGCTTGTAGGTTTGCTTGATGTTGGCGATGAGCTTGTTGACGTAGAGCGCGAGGACGATGAGCGGGATGAATATGACGGCCGAGAAGCCGACTGTTGTAAAGTGATCGTTAGCACTGACGAACTCTGAACGGATCGCAAACGAGGTGCGTACAAAGGTAGCTTGATACTTGACCGATAGGCCAGGCGGTTTCACCAGTTTCGGGGCTTTTGGGGAAGATGTCGATGTCCAAGGCAAAGAAGCTTGTGATGAATGACAGAGGAAGCTGTTACAGTTAGCGCGCCATTTTCAAGCCGGCAACTCTGAGCAGGAACTTACGAAAACGACGGTGACGAGAGTGAAAACAAGGATGATCTGTAATACTTGTCAGCCAACGGAAAACACATCATCCGGGCTAGTGAGCGGAGAACCCACGTTTCCCTGCCGCTGCGATTCTTCCGATCCTTCACGCGCGAACCGCGCCTCCCAGCCGTTTGCGTGTTTCTGCTTGAGATCGAGCAGGTTCTCAAGCTATTTGCGGTCAGCCAAATACACGTCATCTCTCACGATCCAATACCAACACAGTACTTAGATGCCACATACCGAACTCTCAACCTTTTCGGCATAAGCCAGCATGTCCGTGATGATCCGCATATTGTTCTCAACAATCCCAATCGTCTCGTACATAAGATCCCGGTTCTGGAGAATGTTGGTCTTCTTGACTGGAAGCGCCGTCGCCCTCGCCTGCTCGGCTTCTTTCTCCTTCCCCTTCGGCCTAGAACCCCTCAGAAGTTGACCATCCTGCGCACTCAGCCCGCCGGCCTGTAACGTGTCTCGAAACGAAGGCCTTGGCGTCATCGGCGACGGTCCACTCCCGTCAGGGCCCACCGCGGTCTGGTCCTTAAGCAGCTGCACCAGGTTCTGCAAAACCATCAGCTCGCCCTTGCCCAGGCCGCCGGACAGCGCAGGCGCCCTGATCTCCTCGTCAGCGTCCTCGTCCACCTTCTTGGGGTACAGCCGCAGCAGTTTCTCGAGCACGTCGTGCTGCTGCGCCAGGATGGTCTTGACGATGGTCAGCTCGTCTTGGATGTCCATGATCTCGACCAGGAGCTCCGTCTCTTGGTCCAAACTGAAGAGGAACTCAATCTCTCTCTTTCTCTCCACCGGCTCCAGCGCGCCAATGTGTAGTTTCTGGGTGGTGTTGCGAAAGTTGTTAAAGAGACGGCCTTGCTTCTCCGAGACGTTGTTGATGGACGACTGGAAACACTCGTGGAACTGGAAATTGGCGGGGCCCTTGCGCTGAAAGAAGTCGACGCTGGTCTTGAGGATTAGGTGGAGGAGATCCTCGACCGATTTGATGATTTGCCGGTCCTTGTTGTATCGAAGCTCCCTGACGACGACGTTGCTGAAATTGAACTCCTCCTGTCCGTTCCACGTGTTCGGTGAGCTGGTAATGACTGTCCCGTCGTGGAAGGCCCAGAGCCACAGCTGATCGACCATGACGATGGGTCGGTTCTTGGGTTCGGCGCACACGGCGGGGTTTCTCGCCCACCTGTAGGCTACTTGGCCCTTGTCCCGAGCCTCGGTCGAGTTCAACATATAGTAGGAAAACTGGTCCAGCGTGCGACGACAGTGTACAGGCTTCACCTGCTTGGAGTCTAGGTATCCCCTGAGTAACTGCGCTTCACGTCCCTTGGTGACCTGCGCCCTCGCGCGGACAACCGGCTTGACTGGTGGATAGAGCCGACTCGTCTCCCTCTCAGAGCTGGACTCCCCGTCATCCGAACTTTCCGTTCCTCTTCTTCGATCCCCCTTTTGCGAAAAGTTCGACCTGCGATCTGCCGGAGCCTTGGGGTCTGGACTGCTGTCGCGGGCGCGGGCAATTCTCATGGCCTCGTCAGCTTCCTGGAAAGCTTGCGTGAGGTACTTGCGGTGACGATGCTTCTCAAAACCCAAGATGGGCATCTGCTTGTTGATTAGATGTATGGATTCCAGAAAAAAACCACCAGAATGGAAGAGTGTTGCCGACTCACAAATATCACAACGGCATCTGCTTCTGTCATTGTGAACTCCGGCGCCGGTGCCTTGCCAGATTTGGGCCCTGTTTTGCTTCGAAACTCTTCCGAAGAGGGAGGAAAGTCCTCTGACCCAAGAACAACTGTCGCGGCACTATCGGTGCTCCCGAACCGGTTTGCTCTCGGCCTGAGTGCCGGGGGTGGTTTTCTGACGCTGCCATGGAAGTGCTTGTACCTCCTCGCCTGGGGCATCATGTACCGATCGATGAGCCGTGACCCCTCGTGGCGCTGGCCACCCATGGAACCGTCCTGGATGCCCATGCTCACCATGAGATCGTGGACCCACTGCTCGTTGTTGGATGGCACATGGATCCAGCGGCACCGGACCTTGTCTTCGGTCAGGTGCTCGGCTCTCGAAGCAGCTAGGATCCGAGAAACACCAACACTCGAGGTGCTCTGGTAGATGACATCGTATACAGATGCCAAGTCAATGTTGAAGACCTCGGAAAACCTCTCGCGCTTCTTTTGCAGAAAGACCTCGGCAAGGATCATGTCAAACGCGTTGCAAGCCTCGCGCTGCGGACCAGGCTGCGGCGGATGCAGGCTCCCTATGCCTGCTGATGCTGTCGAAGAGCTGCCAATGACAAGATGTTTATCCCTGAGTCGCCGGATCCACTGGTTCCCCTCTCCTTCAGCATACGACCAAGGCGTCTTGCCATCGTTGTCCCTGTCATCGACATGCGCGCCTTTCTTCATCAGCAGGTTAATGATCTGCGTGTATACCCTCTGATGCTCCGGGTCGGGATCCCTGTGGGCTGCCTCCTGGACGGCGATGTTGAGTGCAGATCGCCCCACGCTGTCCTTCCTATGGACTGACGCATTGCCCTGGTACAGCAGTCTCTTGACAGCATCCGGGTTCCCAGCCTTTACCGCGAGGTGTAGAGCCGTCCGATTCAGCTGATCTCGTAAATCGACGGGGAACTTTTCTGTCCGGAGGAAATCGGCAAGGCACGCGGCCATCTTGCTGTTCCTGGTGACGGAAAGTCGGACGATCAGAGAGCGTTTGGCCACATCCACAATGGATCGATAGTCGATGTCATTGGGGCCTTCAAATCTGCTAAGACGGTGCGCCGTTACTGATTGTTTCGGAATGAGTTGGACTTCGAGGTTTTTGGGGGTTATCGCAGGCTAAGATGCTAGGGGTTAGCGTTCCGGTGGTATGCTTTTGTCCTGTCATCATGCAAACACATACCTTGCCAGGTGTTGGCACCATGGGACTGTAGTGCCACGCAATGGGGATATCATGCACCGACGCAAGGAGGGAGAACCTGATCCACATGGATAATGTATCGATCTTTGTCGACGGAGCGCCCGAGACTCGCGGCTTTCCTAGCCAGTCCTGCGTCCACGTCTTTTTCGTTTCCTGGGCGAGACTCCGCGGAAACTGCTCTCTGTCGGGGCCAGCAGCCGGGGCATCCAGCAAAATCACGCCTGCAACCATGTAGAGATTCGTGGTCGGATTCCAGTCAGACCCGGGCCGAAGAGCAAGCAAGTTCATGGCCCTCTGGAGAATGAGAGCGCCGAAGCCAAGGCCAATCAAGATAATGGGAACCCCGCTGTAGTCGACGATGTCTGACGTCCTCTTCTCGATGAGGCGTGTGGCCAGAACGTCGGCCAGCTCTGTCAGGTACTGCCAAGGCGAGGCCACTTTCTCGACGCCCTTGTACGTGTAACACATGATGCGAGCGCCGGGAATCTCGATGGGCAGCATGTCAAGGTCGCTCAGCCAGTTGACGCGTCGCTCGATCCCCTGGTCCAGCGAGGATTGTCGGTCCGACAGAACGTCAGCATTGGGACGTCGGCTGTCGCCCATCTCACCCACGCTCGACACCTTCTCTTCTTCGGCGATGGCTGCGAATCGTCCACTCGACCATCTCCTGTCGTGGGGTAGGGTCGCCTTCTTTCGCATGCGCGGCCTTCGCCGAAAAAAGTCGTCTGAGGTCTGCAACCCGGGATTCACGTCCTCGTCTTCGGGAACCGACGCCAGCATGCCGAGGATGGACGCATCCTCTGGGTCCTCCATGAGGGCAAGATCTGGGCTGGACGGCCCAGGATCGTCAAGTGCAGCTTCGTCTGCATCCCCGTCTCGTGGCACGTCTTCCGCAGGCTTGGCTGAAACGGCCAACCACCTCTCGATCGAGTAGTTCGGATTCTCCGTCGCCTTCTTCTTCCCGTTGGACGGTGGCTGCCTCCCGGTCGACCTGTAGCGGCCGGGAGCCGGACTCCCCGTGGTGCCTAGTCCCCCTTCGCCATCGAAGCTGTTGAGGCCAGCGGACGCATAACCGGTACGGGGCTCGTTTCCTCGTCGCTTGGATTTCTTGCGGTACAACCAGGCCTTCAGGAGGGTTTCGTCGATGTCGTGGATGGCGATGATGTCCACGCGTGGCACTACTGAAGGGTCCTGCGGGAACACGACTCGCAGTTCTGCGGTGTCCTGTTGTCGGTCAGCATCCAATTGTCGCTGTTGGTGAGACTGCCGCCCTCACCTTTGGCTCCTGTGGCACGTCCTTTGCAGCTGCCGACTTCTTGGCCGCTTTCTCGGCTTTCTTGTCGGCCTTAGCCTGCTCCGCCCCTGGTGCTTTGTTCTCTCCTGCGACCTTGGTCAGGCCCAATCTCGACCCCAGTTTTTGGGCGCTGTCCTTCAGGTTCAAGTTGGTTTTCTGCGACTTGCTCACCCCGTCTCCCCCTTTTGCGGCCGATGTTGTCACCGGTTCTCCGTCGGTGGTCTCGGGCTCCTCAACTTGCGCCCTTTGCCGGTCTGCTACCACCTTTCCGGTGCCTGATTGTTGCGCTGGGAAACTGGAAGGTGCTGGGGGCGGAGGAGGTCTTGTGACTGGGTTGGCTGCGGTCGCAACTGCCGCCGCCTTCTTTTTGCTCAACTGCCGCCGCGCATTTGGTGCACCACTTGTCGGCCTCCCAACATCAGGCGCGGGAACTTCTCCGATCCCTTGCTGTGGCTCGTCATTTTCCGGCAGCCGAATTCCATTATAGACCTCCGACGTTCTGGAGAGGGAGGCACTCATCTGGCGCACATGTCTTGTCGCGGCGCTGTGAGTGTGAGCGCCGTCGCAATTGTTGGCTCCGGTTTCAGGCGGGCTTTTAATGGAAGGAAACGAATAAAACAAGACATCAAAAGAACAGAGCACGCGATCCTCGGCGCGTACAAGAAATCATTGCTGGCGACGGGCCAACCGACACCCCAGACCCAGGGCGGGGCTCATGCAGGTTTGCGGCAAGGTATTGGGTTCGTCAGATACTTTAGAGTTGCTAGCTAATGTGACTATCATCTCTCCCAAAGTTAGAACCGCTCAGAGGGATGAGCTTACGAGGAGCGAAGTCCCCTCAATGTCAGTTTCTTGAGATGACCGTCATCAAAACATGTCGTCTCGACTGATGCTGGTTACGCAGTACAATCCACTCCTGGTTTGCTTGTAAGTGTCTCACTTGGCCCACCTGAGTTTTGTAGTCAACGCCAGAACAAAGCTTTTGATGCGGAGAAAAAAAACCTTCTGGGGAGAGCGAATCTACCAGTCGAGAAAAGGTGTATGCTCGACCCTTTTGCGTTGGAAGTGAGTTCATGGCTGTTAGAGTGGAAGTTCTTTAATATTGAGCCTGGAACCCTGTCAGTAGTATCGCGCTACATAACAAACCAACCAGGGTCGTAAATTAGTGTGTACTATGGAGTCTTTCCTCATTGTTCTGAGTGTAAGGATTCCGGGGGCGTTCGTGATTCCGATCCATTTCTTGGTTTGTTGGTTACTTTCTTTTGCCTTATGTCTCGGTGCAAGCTAAGAGTTAATTCGGGTAAGGCAGTGATAAACTCAAGTGCCAAAGATGGAACATTGGAAGCCCGACGGAAGTTAAGGTGCCTGGTGAATGAGGTACCTAACACAATAAGTACTGTAACTGACGAGTTATCGCAGTTGGCTTACCTTATCACAGATACCAGCTGAGCTACCCCACCATCACCCATACGTCAACCGCCAAGCACCGAAGATCCGTCGCATCACCAACCACCACCTGCCCCTACCAACCTTGCCGTTGAAGCTCCAGATCCCGACAATGTCCGATTGATTTGATTCATCTCAGCTTATGACCGAAACAAAACGCCGAAACAAACGCAGACAGCCGAGTAAACGCAGTGGATACAACACGATAGCATAGGCAGCACCGTCCTCTCGGTCGTCGTAAGCCGACAAAGATGGCGGTCCTCGACCAGGACAACTTCTCCAACATATCGTGGCATAGCGAGCAGAACCAGGACTCCCCTGGGCCGAGCACATCCGCATCTCGCGATCCCGCCCACAGCCCAAACTACTCGAATGACCGGCCCGATGGCCACAGGACAGGCAACGAGAGGGACCACGGCCACCCGGGCGGTGAGATCCTCGACTGTACCGTGTCGGAGCCGCACAAGGAAAACGACGGTACCAAAGACGCATATGTTTCGTATTTGATTACTACCAACGTACGCACCCCTAATAGATCGGTTTCAAGTGCTGCCGGCTGATTGCTCTAGACAACTTTCCCCTCCTTCCAGCGACCAACAACCTCGGTTCGCCGCCGCTTCACCGACTTCGTCTTTCTCTACAAGGTTCTCTGCCGCGAATATCAGGGGTGTGCGGTCCCGCCGCTCCCAGACAAGCAGCGCATGGAGTATGTTCGCGGCGACCGGTTTGGACCTGACTTCACCGCGCGCCGCGCCTACTCCCTGCAGCGCTTCCTCTCACGGCTCGCCTTGCACCCCGAGCTCCGCCGCGCCGGCATATTCCACACCTTCCTCGAGAGCCCCGACTGGAACGCCACCATGCGCAGCAGGGCAGGGCGGCTTGGCCCGGCCGGAGCAGGCGGCGAAAGTCTGGGCCAAAGCCCGGCCGCAGGCACCAGCACCGGGGGCGGCGGCGTGTTCGACTCGTTCGCAGACAGCTTCATGAACGCCTTCACCAAAGTACACAAGCCAGACCGGCGCTTCGTCGAAGTCAAGGAGAAGACCGACAAGCTCGACGAGGACCTCAACAACGTCGAAAAGGTGGTCGCCCGGGTCGCCCGCCGCGAAGCCGACCTCGAGACCGACTTCAAGGACCTCGCCGAGCAATTCCAAAAGCTCATCACGCTCGAACCAGGCGTCGAGTCGGCCGTGCACGCCTTCGCCGCATCCGTCGAGGACACCGCGGCCGGCCTGAAGAAACTCAAAGACCACACCGACCAGGACTACCTCTCCTCGCTGCGCGACATGGTCGCCTACAGCGGCGCGCTCAAAGCACTGCTCAAAGCGCGCGAGCAGAAACAGCTCGACTACGAGCAGCTCACCGAGTACCTCAACAAGGCGACGGCCGAGCGCGACGCGCTCGCGTCGGGCGGGCATGGCTATTCCTCCGGCGGACCGCTGGCCGGCGCGGGCGGGTTCATCCGGTCCAAGATTGAGGACGTGCGCGGGGTGGACCACGAGCAGGCGCGCCGCGACCGGCAGCGCAAGTTGGAGCTGAGGATCGACGAGCTCACGCGCGAGGTGGAGAACGCGCGGATGGAGTCGGATGAGTTCGGGGATCACGTCGTGAAAGAGGTTTCGAGCTTTGAGTGGATCAAGAGGGTCGAGTTCAAGCGGCAGTTTGGCGGGCTCGTGGACGCGCACATTGAATTTTACGGCGGTGTCATTGAGTCCTGGGAGGAGTACGTGCGCGAGATGGAGAGGGAGGGAGTCGTGCTGCCGGCTTAGGAGGCTATTGGATATGGGAAGGGCAAGGGCACGGAGAGGGCAAGGTGGGTGGTCATTGAAGATGAGAGGGAAATTTGATGTCGCCGCGGATGATGCGGAAGGGGAAGGTGAGTTTCAAGGGAATGGTCGCCGTCCAACGACGCCTCAACGGCGCGTCAACGGCGATTGAGCTGTCTGCGGGCATGGTCGAGAACTGGGATTGTGTTTGGAAGCAAGGACAGACGACAGGTTGAAATGAACATTAATCCTGGAACAAGTGAGGTCAGGGCAGCGAAGGGCGTTGTTGCTGGGCAGCTCCAAGCGGAAAAGACCACCTTTGTAAGCTTAGGATTTGGGGTTGGGGCGCTGGCATTGGTTTTGAACATCGGCTTAGACATGGCATTAGTTTGATTATCACATGACGCTCGCATGTGTAGCACCAGCCAGCCCGAGAAACACGCCCATGGAACGCTGGGCAGTGTGTGCACTGGAGACCTGCCGCGGCCAAGGCCATCCAAAACTCCAACATGATCTAGATGTTTAGAAGCAGATAAACACAGCCAAACCCATTCCCTAATCCAAGCCCAAACAGACAGACACTCGTCAACGAGACGCGAGACAAAGACCAACAGAAACGAAACGGCGCTAACGATTCCCACCCTGCAACGGTCTCGCCTCCCCACCCTCCTCCTCCTCGTCCTCATCATCCCCAACAACATGATGCCCCTCGGAATCATCACTGTCCCCCCTCCTCCGCTGCCCCGACACCTTCTCACTCATCCTGATCGGCGACCCACTCCCCTCCGACTCCGACGAGCCATCCCGATCCCGGTACTGTCTCACAGCAGCCGCCGCACCAACATCAGCATAATCATCACTATCCTCCTCCTCCTCCTCCTCCACCTCATCACCACTCTCCCCAGCAAAAGCATCATATAACTCCCCACCCCTCGTCTTCCTCCTCCCGCCACCACCACCACCGCGTCTCCCACCACCCTCTCTTACCCGGGTCCCAGCCCCGACACCAGCAGCGCCACCCTTCTCGGCATGCGAGGCCGCCAACCCCTCCGCCTCGTCGTCGTCGGCGTCGTCGTCGAGCAGCTCAAACTCGTAGTCATTCCTCGGGTTATTCCGCAGGCGCCTTCGCCGGGCTAGGTACAGGTAGACACCCAGCCCGGAGCAAAAGAGCACGATGAGGACAAGAGAGCCGTAGATCCAGACCTGGGTGGCCGCGCTGACACCAAAGGTGGGCAGGAAGGAGGGCAGCCAAGTCTTTGTGCCGTTTGAGGTGGAGGACGATCCGGCTGCTGCGGCAGGGGCGGTTGTTGTTGCTGTTTGTTCGTCGTCGTCCGACGGAGGGGTGGTGGTGGGGGTCGGTTTTGCGTTGACGGGGCGGTTGGGTTGGTCGGTTGGCACGACGTCGTCACTGTCGGCGGGCGGTGCGTCGTTGGATGGGATCGGGGTAATGGTGGTGAGGGTGGCCGGGAGGGAGGTGGTGGCGATTAGGGCGTGGTCATTGTCGTCTTCTTCGGTCGGCATGGGCAGGACCTTGGCCTGGGACGCGTCGCGCGCCTCGCCCCAAAGCTTGAGGTGCCAGTCGACAAATTTGCCGTTGAAGCGGTTGACGTTGGTGTCTTTGACGATGATGGTCCAGGTGCCGACGCCGGATTCGCCCCTGGGAAGCTTAGTTGGATGGATTTCTTGTGGGAAAGGGGTGAGGCGGGCCGGGAACTTACCAGTGAGCGACGCTCATGAAGGTCCAGTCGTCGTAGCCCTCGGTGGACTCGTCGTATTTGCGCGTGACAGACAGATGGCTGACAATTTTGTTTGGGCTGATCAGGTCGACACTGAGATCGCCACGCCGTCCATGCTCAATGTTCATGGTGACGGTGATGTGCTCGACTCGTTCCAAATTGGCCTCCTTGAGCATGTCCTCGGTGACCTCAAAGCCAACAGCAACGCCGTGGTCGCCCTGAGGGATGTCTTGGTTGACGTGGATCCAAGGGGAGTAGAACCACGCCTGGGGCTTCACCTTCTTCCACGTCCTGGCGGCCTCGACAATGGCGTAGCTATCCAGCTTGCCGTATCCGTAGGTATGGCTGAACTTCTTGCCAATGGTGGTGTCCTGCCAGTCGCCCGACTCAAGGTTGATGGGGAGGGCAGTGTCCATGGCAAGATACTGCATGTCTCGCCAAGTCAAGTCCGGTCGCACCTGCAGGACCAGGGCAAAAATGCCGGCCGCAAGGGGCGCGGCAGCCGAGGTTCCCCCATGGCTGCTGGAGCACGAGTTCTGGCCCACGTCGGTGGTGTGGATGGCGTCACCGCTGCCGCTCGAGTACGTGACAACCAGCCCAGCCGAACACTTTTCCGAGTAGTACGGGTGCTTGCCCATCCGGTCGATGGCACCAACCGTGATGCTGTAGATGCTGTTGGTGTAGCCGTCAAAATTGCAGTTGTCGTCATTTTGCGCGCCGTTACCGCTGGCGAAGACGTAGATGGAGCCCAGGCCGTTGCGGCCGTTCTGCACGGCGTTCAACATGGCACGCCGAATGAGGATACCAGGCGCGTCCATGCTCTTTCCGTCATCGGGCGGCCCCCAGGAGCAAGAATATATCAGGTTATGGTTGAAGTCGTAGTTCATAGCCACGGCTTCATCAGCATCACTGATCAGCTTGGACAGAATGCGCAGGCCGGCAATCTTGGAGTCGTATGCCACGCCAACACCGCAAACATTGTTCTTGACGGCCGATACCTCGCCGGCGCATCGGGTGCCGTGCTTGTCGTCTGACAGGCGAGGCCTCGGCTCGTCAGTTTTGTCGTTGAAGTCGTAGGAGCCCGCGGCGTAGTAATTCGCTCGGAGGTCATCGCTGTACATATCCAAACCGTCATCGACAATGGCGACCGTCGTGTTCTGGCCCGTGACACCCTGCAGCCAAACGCCCGTGACGTTCACGTCGTGGCCAAGCTCTACCGTGTTGAAGAGATGCCATTGTTCGTGGAAAATGGGGTCCGAGATTTGCAGCTGGCGGGCGATCTCTTTCTGCGCCTGGACGGCCGATGGCACTGCTTGATTCGTGGCCCTTGTCCCGCCGCCCAACTGTATCGGGACGCGTGGTTCTGGAATGATGCGCTTCTCCCATGGCTTCCGGAGCACCTGTTTCTCGGAAAAGAGCACACCGTCCAGAGCATGTCTCTCGCCGAGTGATCGCTTCCTTCGCCGGTTTGCCAATTCCCGCTTGACAACATCGTGTTCGGCCCGCTTTCCGGTAAAGATGTGGTGATCCTTGAGCTCTCCAAGGGGCCCCTCGTGGGACAGCCCCAGGCTCTTGGCTACTTCGTGGGGTGATGTGTCTGCGTCGAGATGGAGCACGTAGTAGTCGTTCGCCTCCCAATTTCGCGGGAGGACGTGGGAGGCTGTCGCGAAGGCGGCGAGGCCAAGGAGCGCCGCACCTGACCAGATCTTCATGATGTTGGAGGTTCAAGGGCTCGAGTCCTTCGTACGCCCGCTGTGGGAGAGTCCTTGTGACGGTGGCAGGTCGAAAAGAGAAGGTTAACCATGTACGGGTCGTTCAGCCAATAGCCAGATTGCTCAGTGTCAGAGTGTGTTCCTTTGTGCTTGTGTCTTTCCCGAGCGGCTCGCCGGGCCCAAGTCAGAGTCGAGACTGAAATCGTGTCGCAGGTTGTAACTCTGTGAGCCAGGCACCGTCTGTGGCAACTGCACTGGTTAAAAAGGAGGTCACGCCGTTTCAAAACTTGAAGATTGAGGAAATCAAGTAGAGAATGACTGCTGCACAGAAAAGCAGCGCTGGGAGAAACGATATGGAGCAAACAATCCACGTCTGCTCCAAAGACAACAATGGCCGGCCTTTGAAGCGAAAAGGTGGCCTTGCGAATCGCATTCGAGGCTGGCAGCCACGCTGCCTGCGGACCCTGAAGTCGCCAAGCTTCGTGCGGAAGGCGGCGTCGTAATCTGACATGGGGGATGCCGGTTCGTCAGCCCAAAGCGGGTCTGCATAAGCCATCATGGTCAGCCAATTGAACATTGATCCGCCCGCGATTGATTGAATGGATTACAGTATTGTCTGTTGGCGGCCATCTGATTATCACTCAGCAATTCAATGTAGGTAGGGTGTTGACGAAAACATAAATATTGATGAGCAAGAACTGGAAATCGCAGCTTAACTAACTATGTGGGCTGCAGCAATGGGACTCTCTTACGGATACTGGACTTCGAATGACATGTAACATTACATCCGGTTGCTCGAAATCCTGGGATTACTGGTAATCTGTAACTATCGTGGCCCCTTCTCAGACGCGCTCCTCCGCATCGCAGCACGCGACCAAGCTCACCCCACCAGTCACTAGTATCGCCGCGATGGAGATAGACACCGGCGACGACGTCCTGAGGAAGGCCGCCCTGGACGGGTCCATGGACTAGTGAGTCCTCCCATGACTCCATACCTTACAGGGTGCCAATTGCGCGGCCGCTGACATGAATGGGCGCATGCGACAGCTCGGCCTGGCCAGACCTGCTACCCACCGTTCTGGCACGCATCGAGAAGATCGCACACACCGAGTTTCCCATTCCCGCTGTCCCGCCTCCTCCTTGTCAACCCGCCCGACCTCCCTCCCCGCGCTTCCTCGCCCCGCTCCCTTCGTCAGACCCCTTCGAGGCGCCCGACCAGGCCGACAGCCCATCATCGCAAGGGACAAACAAGGAGAATGTCAATCCCTCTTCACCCTCAACTTCCAGAAATGCCGCCGCTACCACGAGCGCCGACCCGGCAGCCCCGGCCACACCCACCCTCCCTAAGCCTATCGCCGACATGCTCGACGAGATCCTATCAGTCCTGCGCACCAACTTTCCCCAGTACCCGCCCCACACCATACAGCGACTCTCTGAGCTAGTCCTCAGCCCGCGGCAGCACTACCGCAACCTGGTGCCTTACCTCCACGCCCTCGATCGTGTCGTCCACGTAACCAGCGGCGCCAATACCTACCCGCTCCCGCCAGCCGTCCCGGATGTCGGCGCCATGTCTCTGTTCGCAAACGGCGTGAGCGCCAGCGGCCCAGGCCGACTGTCCATCGACACGGCGGCCGCGAACAGTGTCGCGTCAGACGAGGCGCTCGGCGGTGCTCTGCTGACGCCAATCCCATGGCTAAGCGGACGAGCCAACGGGGCTGGCAGCGACGACGGCAGCGACGCCGGTAGCTCGTCCCCTTTATCAGCCGACCGGAACACCACCCATACCGCCCAGCAGGTCCAGCTCCGGCAGCAACAGCAGCAACAGCAGCAACAGCAGAGGCAAGGCGCCGGCCATCTCGATGGCCGCGTGCGGACAGAGAGCACCGAGTCGATTGAAGGCCCCAACGGCATTGGCAGCATCGAGACCGTCTCGGTATCTGTCAACGGCGTGCCGTCCACCGGCGCCGGATTCCCGCTGCTCACGCAGCGCAGCGTCACCCAGGGGGAGCTGCTGCGGCAGGAGCAACGCGCCGGTATAGTGCCCCTGAACCAGCTCACCCGGCAGCGGCAACAAGCGCAGGGCGCCGCCGCTGACTACGCAGCAGATGAGGAAGATGCCAGCATGGCCGAGGACGCCGGCGAGACAGACGACGAGTTCCCGCACGCCCGGGGACCTGAGGAAATCGGCCCCGCCGACACGGGCCCGCAGAGCGCGGCAGCTGCCAACATCATTGCTGGCGGCGGCGGCAGCCCGATGGATGTACAGGCCATTGACGTCGAGGCGGCCGTGGGGCGGAGGCTGGAATTCACTCCGTTTCAGCAGCAGCAACCACAACAACAACAGCAACAGGACGGAGTCATCCACAGCCCCGGCGGCGGAGAGACCTCCATCCCGCGAAGCCCCAAGCGCGAGGCAGCAGACAACCTCGAACCAGAGTCGCCCGCGAAGCGCAGAAAGGACGACGACGAGGCCGGCATGCAACAGGACCAAGACCAAAAGCAATCCAACACGAACCAGGAGGCGGATGAGGAGGAGGGGAGGAACGAATCCGCAGGCGGCATCACTCCATCAGCTTACGCCGGCTCCGAACCGTCGTCGAAACCCGACGCCGAAGGCGATCTCGACCTGCCTGACGCTACGACTACGACCACCGCCGCCAAAGCAACTCAATCCACAGACCCTGCCATCAACGAGGTGAATCTCGAACCCGAGGACACCTCCTCCGCCATCGCCGACGGTGACGATAAAGTCGACAAGGAGGAGATCAAGGGCGAGGATGGCGAGGTGAGGGCGGAACCTCTGCATGACGCGTCATCAGAACTGCCCACTGTCCCTCCCGGTGCGAGCGACGCTGGTGCCGAGAACCAGGGCAGTTAGTGGGTGGCTGTTTTTGAAACGGGTGAATTTGGCGCTGATGGTCTTTTGTCTTCTATTTTCTCTACGACAGCTAGCTTTCATGCTAAGGGCATAGTGGCTCCTGAAGCCTGGGAAGCACCTCAAGAATCGCCGCTCAGCGTGGTTGGGTTGAGGGGGGGGAGCAATGTCTCTATTTGATCATTGTATCTTGCTTTTCAGCGATTCCTTCTTTGGTCAAGGGTTAATGGTAGGCGGGAGTCGACTGGGTTCCGGTTGGTTCAGTCGTCGAGGCGTGGGAACCGCCTCACACTTGTCTTCGGTCTAAGGTATCGATCTGAGCTCGTTGGCGAATAGTATAGCATACCGAGCAACGGTATGGAATACTCCGGGAGAAGACTTCATAGTCATGGTATGTATTTCTTCGCCTTCGCCCAAAAACAAACAAGATGTCCCCGCCGAACACCTTCTCAGCAACCCAGAGCTTGTCTACAACCATCTAGGCCCTTAACTTTCGGCTGCCCGTGATGCCGTGCTTCAAGGCCAAAAAAAAAAAAAAAAAAACCTTGCCCTCTCCCCTTACTCCGATATTCTCGTAATGTTCTCCCTCACAATAACACTATTCTGCTTCTCGTCCCTCCTCACCCGGTAAAAGTCATCACAGAAATCGCTGCACTGCATATGCTTCAGAAACTCCTCGTCGTGCGTAATGACAATCAGCTGCAGATTGCTCTGCGACCTCCTCGCCTTGATGATGCCGTGCAAGCTCTCGGCTAAGCTGCGGATATTGTCGCTGTCCAAGTTCGTCGTCGGCTCGTCGAGCGCGATCAGCCCGCAGTTGACGCCAAACGACTCGGCCAGCGCGAGCCGGATGATGATGCTGGCGAGCACCTTCTGGCCGGCGCTGCACCGGCCCCGCATGTCCATCTCGGTGTCGCCCTTGACCATGGACACGCGGTAGTTGTAGGTGCGCTTCCCCGTGCCCGTGCCAGCGCCCGATCCCTCCACGTCGGACCGGATCTGGATCGTGTCGATGTCGGTGCCCTGGTACGTGCTCTGCCACAGCTCGCCAATGGTGCGGTTAATCTCCTCCATCTTGAGCGAGTGGTACCGCATGATGGCGAGGTCCACCGTTGCGGTGGCGCGCGCTAGATCGTCGAGGGCCGCCTTGGTCGTCTCAACCCGGATGTGGGACTCCTTGTACTTGGCCCTGGCGTCCTTGAGGTCGATGTCGTATTCTTGGGCGAGGCGTTTGAGCTCTTCGTCCTTGGCCGTTATGGTGGCTACGATGCGCGTCTCATCCGACGCGAGCTTGTTGTGTCGGGATTCGAGGTAGCGTGCCTCTTTCATGAGACGGTCGTAGTCTTCCTGCGCGTTCCGCGACTCGAGCTCTTCGATCTCCTGCTCGAGGGCATCGCGTTCGCGGAGATTTTTGCGGTATGTCAGGTTGTCGGAAATGTTTCGCTTCTTTGCGTCGCTGTTGTCGATTTCCTTGTTCAGTTTGTTGATCTGAACCGTCAGGTCTTTCATCTCGCTCTCCAGGTTGGCGATTGCGGCTTCTAAGCTGGCAATGGCACGCTGGTTCGAGGCCAGGTTGGAAGGTCCGCCGCGATTGAGGTACTCCTGGATCTCGCTGTTGATCATCTTGAGCTCACTGGCCGTCATGCTGATGGCATCCCGCTCCTCTGCGACCTTCTGCTCCTTGGTCCGCCCTTGCTGCCGAGCTTCATCCAGGGCCGCACGAGCGCTTGCGATTTCGGGCTCCAGCCGTTCCACCTCCTTATCGGTCTCCTGGATGGTGGATCGCAGCTGGCTTTGCTCCTCCTTGTATCGCCGAATGGATTCCTGCAGGCTCTTCTTCCGTTCCAACTGCTGAACCGAATTGCTGATCTTGTGCCTCAGCTCAAGCCTCTCCACCTCGAGCTGCCCAACTAAGTCCTTCAACCGCTGCCTCTCGGTATTTAGCTTGCTGAGCTTGGTCTGGGCAACCCTCGTCTGCTCCGCGCAAGTGGTTTGCTCCTCGTTGATCTCATCCGGGCTCCGCATAGTGATGCTGGACGACTGCTGCGACCTCTCGACCTGCCTCTCGGCGTCGACAATATCCTTGTGAGTCTGAGAAATCTTTAGGACGTTCTTGTTCAACACCTCGATCTCTTGCCGCTTGTCCTCGGCCTCTCTGAAAGCCAGGTCTTGGTCCTCCAGGCGGCGAATCAGCTCCTCCCTTTGGATGGAAGCCGAGTCGATCTCCTTGCTCAGTGAAGGGAGCTCTGCCTCGAGCCGCAGGAATGAATCGTACTGGGAGCGTACAGCCTTGAGAATCTTAATTTGCTCCGTGAAGTGGGCTTGGTCCTCCATCAGCTCCTGCTTGTCCTCATCGTTGAGCTTCTTTGCGATCTTGGCGATGAGTTTCGACCTTGCGGCGGGCTGGTCCTTGAAATCGCGTTCACAATAGTAACATCTGTTGAAGCGTTCTGCCCGGTCTTTGATGCTGGCATAGTGCTTCTTCATCTCGTCGTACAGCTTGAGGTCCGTTTCGGTTTGGCTCAGCTCTGCCTCGATGGTCTCCATCTCCTTTGTGTAGTCCTCAATGGGCGGTGAGTCGGGATCCCTCACATCCTTCAACGCCTTGGTCACGGCGCGCTTGCAACTCTCCTTCTCTGAAACCAGCTTGTTATGCCGCTCCCGCGCGTTGGAGAGCTTGTACTCGACTTGCTTCAGCTCCTGCTGCGTGGCATCCTTCTGCTTCCTGCGCTCAGCAACGACAGCGTTCTGGCTCTTGAGGGCGTTCTGGAACTCGGCTTCGACTGTCTCTGGCTGCCAGTCGTCCCCAAGTAACGCAGAGAGCTGTTCGTTCCATGTGTTCCTGAGAATCTCCAGGTCACGCCGCCGTTCAGTCAATTGCTTCTTCCGTAGGTTAAGCTGGGCTTGCTCGGACGCTAGCCTGGTGCACTCGACGAGCTCTCGGGCGAGTTTGGCAGACTGCGCTTCCAGAGCCCAAATGTCGTCATTCGCTTTCTTGATTTGGGCGTCCAAGTCTGCCCCTTGCTCCTCCGCTTTTGCTGACTCTATCCTGGCCTCAAGCTCTTTCATCTCGGTGCGCAGCACAGCCTCTGCGCCGTCATCGATGTCTATGCTGCTGAGCTCGCCCTGGAGAGTAGCGGACTCCTTTCCGATTGTCATGATGCGTTGCTTCGCTGATGCGCGGTCCCGAATCAGCGATGCCTTGCGGCTTTCGCGGTCTGCGACGACAGCAGCCTTCTTGTCGAGCTCGTCGGCATTGTCACGCTGGAGGCGCTCCAGTTCGCGCTTCTTGTCGTTCAGGATCTTCTGGATGCGCTCGTTGAAAGCGGCGATCTTCCGATCATCCAAGTCCCCATCGTAACCTCGGATCTCGTGGCGCGTGGCTGCCTCGCGAATCATGCGGTCCCGGGTGATGAGCTGGCGCTCGTACTTGTCCTTGTCGGACTGGTGCTTGCCCTGCTCGGCAGCTTTGGCGGTGTGCTTCTCTCTGGATGACTTGAGCTCGACCTGGAGCTCATGGAATTGCGCGGCCTTTCTATCCCTGTCGGCGACGGTCCTCTCTATGACGTGCTCGTATTGGTCCAGGACGCCTCTCAGGAACTCGTCCGATTCAGGTAGCTCTTGGATGCGACTGCCCAGTTCCTCAATCGCTTCCCTTTTGTACTCGAGCTTCTCGGTCTTGGCACGAAGATCGTTCACGATCTTCAGGAAGCTGTTGGCCTGGTCGTGCTTCTCTTTGATTCTGGCTTTCTCCTCGTCCATTTCCCGCTCGATCTCCTCCAGCTTATCGTGGCCCTCCTGGATTTCTCTGGCTATTCCGCTCATGAGCTTGTCGACCTTGTCCGCTCTCTCCTTGTTGGCCTTGTCCTGAGCCTCCCGTAGCTTCAACTCCCGCAGCTGCTCCCCATAATTCTTGCGGAGGCTCTTGATATTATCGATAACCTTTGTGAACTTCATGGCCTCGAAGATCTCGTCAAACCGCTTTTTGAGGGCGGACGGCTCGCTCATGGGCCACAGCGAGTCTTCTTGGTGACAGAAGATGACGGAATCCAGGACAGCTGGCGACACACCCAACTTCTCGGGGACCAGCTTATCGAGTTCCATAACCCGAGTGGAGATAACATGGCGTTCCCCGTTATTTCGCAGCAGCAGGCTGCCCTCCAGCGTCTTCTGTGATCTCGTGTTCTTCTTGACGAGGAGCTGCACGTTTCGAGTGATGACATAGGACTCTCCGATGGTAGATCGAAACGAAACCTTGACTTGGGCGCGCACGTCTTTCTCGCCGGCTAATGTTGGGTCGTGGATAAAGGCGCCTCCCTTGCTGTTTGGTGGGAGTTCGCCGGTGGTGGCATACTTGAGACACTCGATGATGGTCTACAGACGTCAGTAGAGCCGTCGGCATCAGCCCAGCTTCCGAAAACGCACTGTTTTCCCCGAGCCGTTATAGCCCACGATCAGGGTTAGTGGGCTGTTGAATGCGATAGTCTCCTGGTGCTGCGGCCCGAAGGAGCGCACACCGAGGATGGAAAGCTTCTCAATCCTAGACATGGCGATGGTGATCAGGGCAGCCCACAGCCGGGTCGACCAATCTATCCCATGAATGCGCTCGAGCAGTTGAGGTATGGTCGCGGTGCCGTCAATACAATCCTAAATGGTTCATAAGCCGATATTACTTAGAAATCGCCTGGCGTCTGCAAAGACGTTGTATGAGCGGTTGAACCGGCGTTTGCTGGGCAGGACGCGTGGTCGTCGCGGTTCCGGGAATGGAGGCGAGGGGAGAGTCGCGCTCTCACGGGACATGCTAGGCAGCCAAAGTGGGTCTCGGCTGGGCCACATGAGAACCCTTGCGGCCAGCTGCCTGCATTCGATATCACCTTTTCATTCAAACGCATCATTGTTATCAATATACCACAGATTAACCACGAGACCCTTATAGTAGTGAAGTTACATGTGCTGAAACACAATTGAGACCTTACACCCTGCTGCAACAAACCAACACGACAAATCCAAATTCTCAGAACATCCGCCTTCACCACTCCCTCATTTCTCCAACTTTCTTGCCCACCCCAGCCTTTCCCTTCGCCATTCCAACAACATCCGCCCACTCCTCCGGCCTCCTCCGTCCGCCAGGATACATCTCATTCAAGAACCTCTCCCTCTCCCCCGCAAAACCCAGCAACTGCTCCTCAGCGCCCCACTCCCCCATGGCCATCAGCCCAACAGGCAGCATCCCCTCCCCCTGCCGGGGCTCGACATAACCCGCCGGAAAGCTCAGGGCAGGGCAGCCACTTGTGTTAGCCAGCCACGCGAACCGCATACTAGCAATCGACAGATTCCCCTCGCTGCACCCGTACTTCTCATCACCCGGCGCGATGGGCCAGCCGGGCATGGGCGTCGTGGGCGTGAGGATCAGCATGCCCGGATACGTGTCGAAGAGGAAGGCCAGGTGTGACATGACTACCTGGCGTATCTGGCCGTAGCGGAGGTAGTCGATGGCCGGGGTCTGGGATCCCGTGGCGACGAGGATGCGGTTGGGGTAGTTGAGCGGGCGGAGGTAGGTTGACGGGGAAGGGGCGGAGCGGTTGCGGGCGTCGGAGGCGGCTTCGGTGAGGCAGGTTGCTGCGTGCGCGACTTGGCCCTGGTGGAGGAAGGGGAGTCTGATGTTGATCGGTTCGTAGTTGTGGGTTGTGGTGAGGTGGGCGAGTGTCTGGTTGAAGATGGCCTGAACGTCGGGGGAGGCGGTGGCAATCCACTCGCGGCAGATGCCGAGGTACTTTTTGGCGGAGGGGTCGGGGGGGGTCGACACGGCGAGCAGGTTCTGGGCCGGGTCGTCGGGGTTGGGCTGCGCCATGAGTCGGTAGGCAATGGTTAAGTCTGCGGCGGTGGCAGCCATGGGTCCGATGACGCACATGGACGAACTCATGCCGCACATCCTGTTGTGAGTCGGCTTGAGGCCGTAGACGCCGCAGAAGGCGGGCGGGATGCGAGCGCTGCCGCCTGGGGAAGAACGCATGTCAGTAATGCAATACGTGGATCTGATCGTCATCACCCACCTGCATCGGTTCCCACGGCGATGGGGACAATCCCACCGCTGAGGGCGGATCCTGCCCCTGACGACGACCCGCCCGGATAGTACGACTTGTTGTACCAGTTTGTGGCCGTTCCGATGGAAGGCTAACAAACGTCAGTTCTCTCCCAATAACACCCAAGCGAGCCCAGACGTACATTGCACCCCGTGGTATCTGGTAACCCGTCAGCGAACAGGACCCCTTCATCAACGGAGCGTAAAACTTACCCATGCCAATCTCATGCTGGTTCATTTTCCCCATCATAATCCCCCCGGCTTCCTCCAACTTCACCACCGGCCACGCCGTCGCCTCGCACGGCTTCTTGAAATACGCGTGGTCCTGGCCCGCCCTCATCCCCATGGTCGACACAAACCCCTTCACAGAAACATCATCCTTCACACCAAACGGCACACCGTCCAGAATCCCCAGCGGCCTGCCCGCCTTCCACCGCTCCGTCGACGCCCTCGCCGCAGCCAGCACAGCATCAACATCCGTCTGCGTCCACGCCACCGCATACTCGGATCTCGGCGTGACGTCCCGCCGAACGAGCGGCAGAAGCGCCTCGGCCACCTGCAGCGGCGTCGCTGCGCCGGACCGGTAGAGCGCATGGTAGTCGGCCGCCGAGTAGAACCGCCCCGGGAGGTCGGCCGGCTGCGGGGTCTGCAGGTCCGGCGTGAGCTCGAGCATGCCGACGGCGGTTGGGGAGCTGGGGTCTTCGAGGGGGATGACGTTGGGCTGGGAATCGTCAGTATGAAGCCGTTCAACAGGTATGGGATGGGTGGGCGAGTGTAGAGCATTACTGTTAGCCGAAACGCCACGCCCTCTAGGTCGGGGATGAACTTGGCCTGGCCGAATTTTGCGTTTCTCCAGAGCAGCTTCTGAAGCCATTCCGCGTGCTGGACTCTGGGAGAGGTTAGTTGGTTGTGCGATTATGATGTCGTTCTGGTCGGCAGATGAGACTTACATCACAGACGCAATCGCGATTGGCAGTCCGCGCAAGGCAGGGTTTTTGTCTTGCTCGAGCTGGTATTCGAGGGCAGAGGCAGGCGCCTGTCTGGCGCCGGGGTAGTTGGCGAACCGACGGTTGGGACTCATGGTGCTGGACACACGGGAAGGCGCTTGGTTCCAAATCACCGACTAATTCTGTCAAGTTGTGAAAGTGACTGGCTTGCTGGATCTCGCTCGAGGATGATCAGACAAAGAAGACGGTCAACAACGGCGTTGCACAAAACCACAGCTCATTTTCTCAGCCGTCGGGTGTGTTGTGTATTTGGCAAGTGCCGGTGTTTTCCAGCCAGGAAATCGAGCTCTTGGCATTTGTTGACTACAGCCAAAGTCAATTCGTCCCGAGTCTGAGCTGGCTGGTGAAACGATGAATAGTGAACATTCAAGCATCAGTAGCACAAGGATGGATCGAGAGTTCCAAGTTCACACCTTTGGAGTGTCCATTGGCCGGGATTGCCGGAGTTCTTATGGCGTTGTACCTCGGCAGACAGGGGGCCAGGGGTATGTTTTGGAACAATAAAGAGAGGAGCTTGGTAAGGGAGTCTACGTTTACTACGTCTGATAGGAGTAGTCTTGATGAAAAAACAGAGCAGTGTTGAATGGCAGACAAAGGCAACAGGGAATAGTCCAAAAGGAGCCGGTCAAAGGAGGAACAAAGTCTAAGCCATCCTCATGCCTTACGTCGGTTCCGGAGTGCACACTCCACATGGGCATTACATTCAGCACCATCACTGCGTTCCAGGGAGCAATGCCAGATAGATTCTTAGTCTACCTGCCACGAGGCAGTCTGAATGATCGCCTCCACGTGGAATCATCCACGGTGGAGAGCTCCGCCCAATGTCCAGTCCAACCCCACAGCCAGCCGATGCCCACCGATGACCCGTGAACGAAAGCGAGAATAGAAAACTGCAACGGGCAGAACAAGGAGGTTTCATCCATAAACCTCGCCCCAGTCCAGCCCGATCCAGTGCCAACCCATCCAAGTCCAGGATAGCCGTTCTTTCAGTCGAGCCTCTAAATCCCAATCCAGAAAGAAACACCAAAGGCTGAGCCATGGTAACGTTCCCGTTCGCAACCTTCCCCTCCCAATGCAGAGGGATAGAGGAGAAAGATACCCAGGTACTGAACTGATCCGAACCGACTCAAATCCGAGGGGGGAGCATGCCAATGCCCACAGCCAGACCAGAAAACGACTGTTAAGAGTGGTGGGGTAAACATGCCGAAAAGGAATAGAGAATAAGAAAAGAACCGAATCACAACCCGACCCCCCATAAACGCCTCGCAAAAATGCGGATGTGAAGAGACCCGGATAAAAAGAGACCAGCCTCCGGTCCCTTCCTGAAAAAAGAGGAACCCAGCCCATTGAACGCCTTGAAAAAGCAGCTCCAGATGCCGCGGCTGTGCTGCGCTGTTATTTCCCTTTGTATCTCTGTTGCCGGGAGAAATGTGTGGATGATGCGGGTGAAACGCTGCGGGCAGCTCGGTTTCGTAGAGTCACCCAGCCCAGTGAGGCTGATCCAGTCGAGGACAGTTCGATTATGTGATAATGTCGGGTAGGTAGGCGTTTTCGGACGGTCAATTCAATATTTCCGGTTTTGGTAGGCGTGAAGAGTGAGTCAACAGTCTCAGCTTGTCTTACTCTCCCTTAGGCTTGGTCCTGTTAACCCAAACCCCTAACTCCGACGACTCTCGCAACGCTCATGGATCGACCCCCGCGGAACTACCTACCGCGCGCTCAACCGGAGCAGTTTCGTCCTCAACCAGAGGAGGAAGCCTTGCCAGTACCCCTGGGTCTTTCGCTTGGCACCGCTGCCCCTCCGCGGCCGAGTGTGCTCAAAGTGCACGTCGTCCACCGTGACGCCAAACGCAGGCGGCGTCTCGAGCGACACGCTCTCGTACCTGCGAGCGGCAAACCCCATCTGCTTCTCGGCCTTGGTCACGTTCGCGGTGGGAGAGTCGGTGTGCCTGCGGCCGACGATCCCAACCCCAACGCTGCTGGCGCTGGGAGGCGAGTGCACACCGAGGATGCCGCCCTTGGATGGCCTCGCACCGGGCTCCGAGACGGTCGACAGGCCCGTGTTGGTTTTCTTGCGGTTCGACGTGCGGCTGGTGGGGAGCTCGCCCTTTTCGATGCGAGCGGCCATCTTGGTGTCGCGGCGCTCGCGCTTGCGGATCATCTCGCGGTCGTACTTTTCTTCCTTGACGCGCTCGCGCTCCTCAAACTTGCGCCGGGCAGCGCGAATGTTCTCGACACGCGTGGCCGTGTCGACCTCGGAGCGGCTGCGGAGGCGGGGGAATCCGGCTGCGGCCATCTCGAGCGATGTTCGCAGGGGAGACATTTGCGATTGTTGTTTTTCTTGTTGATATTGTTGTTGTGAAACGATGACGCTGCCGGCGCCCAGGCTTCCTGTGGGCGAGTCGAGAGTGCCAGTGAGACTGACGCTGAGGTTGTGGGAATCGAGAAGGAGGTCGGAATGGCTGGCACTGGGAAGACTGCCGTGTGCAAAACGCGACGATGTGGCTGTGGTGCCAGAAATCGAGCGGCCAGTGTTTATGCGGAGAGAAGGCGGCTTTGACGCGGTAAGTTCTGGGGGATACGATAAGGTGCGCTGACTGTTTAATGACGGCCTCCGGAGGTTTAACTGTGAGATGCAAGCTGACGCGGGTGGTGCATGACCATGAGCAAGCATATGCGGGTGCGGATAAGTAGTGGCGTTGATGTCAAAGCCGTCGTCGTCCTCGTTCTCGGTAATGGTGGGCGAGCAGTCCCTCCCATTATCGAATGACGCGAGCGAGTTGGCATAAGACAGCGGCGGCGTCGAGGTACGTGGTGTTTGCGCAAAAGGATGCACAAAAGCACCACCACGGGGTCCGCTGCCCGCCGATGTCTGCGACGCAGAGCGGCCATGTTGAAACTTGAGGTTTCCTGCCCGGATGCCACTTCCTCCGCCAGCACCTGCACTCGCGCCGTCACCTGCCCCGAAGCCTGCAGCAGCCACCCCAGCACTGACGTCTCTCGCCTGCCCTGCATAACCAAGACCTTCGTCCCACCCGTCTACTTCCAGCTGCTCGACCTGCTGCTCATCCCACCCCCGATCCAAATCCAGCGAGTTCTTCTCCGAATGCGACAGCTTCTTCAATATCGGCTTGACCACAATCCCCTTTGCCTTGACAATCTTTTTCGCCGGCCCGCCCGAGTGAACACCAAGCGACGCCATGCCGAGAATCTACCCTAGCGGCTCAACCAGAGAGGCAGGATGACTTGAGATGCCAAACCGGCGGGATGGACACACGGAAGGTCAACGGCCGAGGAGATAGCCCCTAGCGAGTTTCGGCGCTGTCGCCGTGTCAGGCGCGACACGACGAGCGGGAAATCGAGACGGCCACCGGGTTCGTTATGAAGAGCATTTAAAAGAGCATTGGCAGCACCGCACCAGTGAGAGGATTATCGAGGTATTCTCGTCGCCGCGCTGGCCCAGCAACGATCCGACAGAAAGCCCGAGACACGCAAGAAATGCAACACGATGTGATGAGGTCGGAGCACAACACAGCAGGCGGATCCGATCTGCAATTTTCGAATTTGGTCGTGGTCAAGAACGAGGAACCCGAGCAGCGATGGAGATGGGCCGGGCAATTGAAGGAAGCGATCAGAGGCTGGCCGGCTCGCCGGAAACAAAGAGCGCTACCGATGTCGTTGGCGTGAGGAACAGATGTTAGGTGGTGGGATGACGAACCCAGAACAGCGAAACAGAATGTTTTTGCAACGAGACACCGACATCGACGCAGTTCCGTCCACCGCTCACCACCCACTCGGCCGGATCGACGAACGAACCACACCGATTTCAGCCTCATTCCCTTGCGCCCACTGGCACCAAGCATGTGCGACTGTGGGGAGGAGGAGGGGTCGGCCAGGGTGCCTTGCCGGGGGCTTTTGGGTGTGCTGTGCGGGGGCTTTGGAAGCGGCGTGTCCAGTGAGCGGCCTGCAGCGACCGCGTTCGTCAGCCACACGCAACCCCCTGGCACGCGTCTGGAGATTGGTCCGACGGCGGGGAGCTGAGAAAGGCTGAGCTGACTACGACGGAATTGGGTGCGAAGAGGAGGCCGGAAAAATGGCCAACCAAAAACATCACCAACACCACGGATGCAGGGCGTACAAATCTGACTGACCGGAGCCGGTTGCGTTTGAAAAACCTTTATTGTTTTTGTTGTGGTTGTGGCCCGGCAACAGATCACTCGATTTCAGCGCGGAGTTTTCGCGACCAGACCGGCGGTCAAGACGCCCATGCCCCGGTTCCTTCAACTGGAGATAGCGCGAGCCGGGTGCAGCGATCCTGATCTGAAGGTGGGCACCACACCCGAGACTTCGAAGCCGTTCCGTCCGTTCAACATCGCAGCTCCTCACTTGACATTCGCATTCAATCTCCTGCCTTTCGATTCAGCATTCCTGTTTGAGATCCGTCTCTGCGGCAACAGTACGAATGCGGATGTGACAAGAGGGCCAGACGCCCAAATCCATTTCTGATCCGCTTGCGTTTCGACGAGGAGAGGAAGGTGGACGAGTTGAGCTTGGGGCCATGGCAAAGTCCAAGACCGTAGAGGGCCTCGGCCGGCCCAGCCGGCGCCCCTCTCTCGATTCGCCCGTTTTCCGAGTGCCCTAATGGCTTTGGTTTGCTCCGCCGCCGAGCGGCGAACTTGATACAGTAGTTACCCCGCGTTTATTGTTTTGTGTCTTGGACGCCTGCCCGTTTACCGACTCACCGAGTACCAGAGAAGCGATGCATTACCTTGTTTTCTCAGACTTCGTTTTGCTCCTCTTTCGCAGTCAAAAGCCTACGGTATATGTCGAGCACAGGGTCCTGCCTGTCATGTCTCGTCGCGTTGCCTATCATCTGATGTTCACTGGACCAGAAAAAGCTGGCCCACGCCAGAGCTATTGGTCCCATCTTTCCTCTTGTTAGCGGGGCGAGCCGGAATCCCCGGGTGGGCTCCAGGAGGGCGGTAGGTGGGGTTCACGGAAAGGCGGTGGCAGGCTTTCACGGAACCCGAGGCAACGGCCAAAAGTAGTAAGCCGTTCTTGTTGATTCTTTCCAAAACAACAACTTGGTCTGTAGATGTCTGTCGGTGATAATGAAGGACGCTAAGTCCAAGGGGAATAGCTATTGTAGGCCTTGAAGTCCGAAGTAGTTGTTCGGCCGCCACTTACGACGGTACCTCCCCTCTTGTCACATGGCTGCACGCCCGAGATAACAGAGATCTGCTATGATTATGGAAGAGATAAGGGATCTGTGGCCTGTTAAGGCGGCCGGTTCTCGCTTGTCCTGTATATGGTTCGTGGAAGGCTCATGATGAGCCTTGCTTCCTGGGCAGGCTTGATCCGACCAGTGAAGCACTGCAGCTCGCTCAACTGCAGTGATGTGAGATGGAAGTGAGGGAAGAGAAGTGTGATGATGAGCCGAGATGTCCGAAGGCACGACATGTTTGTATGCCTAAGGCTGGGCAGCGACATGTCTAGGAATACAAGGGCGACATCTTGACTGGAAGCAATAACCTGTCCCTGCACTGGCATTCTTGCGAAGCTGCTTAGCCTTGACGGTGCTTTATTTGACTGAGCGGCATGTATGGACAACACCATTGAAACAACCAAAACTTGATTCCCTGAGTCACAGTTCTTCCGCTGACCTCGGATCTCTAAAAACAGATTGACCGCCAATGGTAGTACCTAGACCTAAAAACCCATAGTCAGAGAGTTGCTTTTGTGAAAGCCCAGAGTGTGCCAAGAAGAGTGTAGCGCAGCTGAGGAGTTCAGTCAGGCCCGTTCAACAGCGTTGAGCAGCAAATGCTGATAAGGCAATGCATAAAGAAGCGGACGGCTCCGAGAGAACCTATTGCTCATCATAACTCGATCTGTATTTCGGATGTTCAGGTCCCGGACACTCCAATCAACCTCAGCCTGCCCAACGGCCAGCGACGAGACCCTGCGTGTCCTTTCCAGACCCCGTGGAAGGCAGACCAGTGCCGAGAGGCAGACCACGCCCTAGATTGCAAGAAGGGAGTGATTCTGGAAGGAAGCGGGGTTATCAGAGCGCGGCAAAACCGCAGCAAGGAGAAACGTCTAGAGAAAATCTGAGTGGTCATCTCGACCGTTGTCTTCTTAGCGGCCGGAAGGATTCAACCCCATCGACAGGGTAAAACCAAGGAAAGGACCGCTCCGTCTCGCCAACCTACTCGCCCTTCAGCGCCACATGTCCGCTGGCGTGTGTGTAGAGGCTGGCACAGCGGCGGCTGAGTAGCCGCCCTGCTCCTCGTCCGAACGCGGACCCGGTTCCCAGTCCGAACTTTCCAGCCGGTGCAGGGTCGGTACTCGGCGAAGAAGCGAGTGGGCTGATCCGTGTGGATGGGCATGCTGCAGCACGATACCATCTGTTCACCCCCGGTGCTGTGGCGTGTCGTGACAGAGGGACTCGGGCCTGGCAGCCGTAACGACTCCGCATCCCCGGGGCGGCTTGTGACGCCACCATGGTCGATTGGTGTTGGAGAAGGCCATTGTCGCCAGTCAGACCTTTAGGACAGCACCAAGCAGGACCCTGCAGCGGCACCCTCAGAGCAGACGGGAAGTCTGATCGACGTCGTGGGCAGAATCGGGGTAGTCATCGAGGTTGATTCTGGCGGTTCTCCTTTCGTACCCTGTTGAGCCGGGGCTTCTTGTGACGATAGAGAAATAACGACAGCGACTTCTGCATTATTTGTTCGAGTTATCGATGTACCCCATGGCCTTCCGGACCTCCCAGTTGCGCCGTGACACCTCAGCCAGACTCCGCTCTCGACGTAGCGTAGTGGGGTGTACCCTCATGTACCTTATGGCCTCGTAACTCCATCACGAACCCCATCAAGCGTGTGACTTATCGCCTTCCCTTCAAATACTGGCTTCACCCGGGGGGCTGAAACCCACAGAAGGCGGGGTGCCCTGTTCGAAGCGCCAGGCCCAATAATCGAAACCGATGCAGGGGACTCAGGTGGCGATCCGCATCCCGCAGCTCTCAAAGAAAGAGTTGTGACAGAGGCAGGCGTGCCGAGACATGCGAGCCCAAATGGCCGGGATGGTTAGACGGCGCTCAAATTCCAAATTGCGAAGGCTCTAGCCAACAGCAGAAGATAGGCCATAGTCCTGCCGGTGTGGGTATAGTGCTAGCTCCGTAAGTAACTTCAGCTTTTGTCATAAGAAGGTCCTGCCCATGTGGGTATTGGAGAGCATCGTGGAGGCGTGGGTCCTATAATGCGTTGTCACCTCTTTTTGAGGCGCAACTACACGACAGGGAGACTGTCCGTTTTCGCCACGGTGAGGCCGTCCTATTATTCCCTCTCAGTTGCGCTTCCGAGTGCGAGGGCCGCGCCCGTGGCCACTCGGTAACGGACTGGTAGAGGGAGGCGGCACTTGCCACAGGACGGAGATTTCAGAATACAAGCAGACCCGTCGAGGCTGTCTGTCCGCTTCAGAGACTGTCTTGAATGGAGCGACATGAGCACGCGGTGAAGTCTCGGCCGGTGGCCGGGCGACGGAAATGTCCCAAAGCCTGGGAGTGCGAAACATTAATTCCCACCCCAAGATCGAGGTCATCCGGCTCCCGTACCCCGTCAATCGGCCTTGTCATTTCGCCTGGCTTGTCTGACCGTCCGTCATGGTCAACCCATTGGAACGATTCTGATCGTCAGTGTGAGTGACCCCCCAATTCAACCAAATCTAGACTGATTGAACACATCTTGTCCCAAGAAGAACACGTCAAGCAAGTCCTTCAGGATTCAAGCCTCATGTCTGTTGGCTGACAAGACGCGAACCGCTGCACTGAGCCCTGCGCACTTGCATCAGCGGTGTCGGATAACGCAGGATGTGGTAACAATATGCACACAAGAACTCCATGACATACACTGTATGCAGAAGAAAGCGTCATAGAAGACGGGAGAGGCTCGAATGAAAATCAGTAACCCCTCGCTCGCCGGCCGCCCTTCGAATACGGGCCCGCAAATCGTCACTGGGCGAGCTGAGCTCTTCGTTGCAGCGAAGGGTTTAATCCTGAAAACTGGCCGGGTGGAGAGATCCGCAAGTCCGAGGCATTTGGTTTCGCATCGATCAAATTGTCCGCGGCTACCGGAAACGCCTTCCTGCTTCCCCGAGCTATGTTCCCGCTCGATCCACGCTTAGGCTTGGGGTAATCTCAACGTCAGAGGTCCCTTGAAGCGGCTTGAATCAAGACAATGACCCCCTCCAAGAACCCTGCGGACTCCTCGGTGCGTCATAAGATTTTAGTGGTAGGCAGCAAATCGTGTGTACTGCCCATAATGTTCTCGTCCTTGTTGCTGCTTCAGACTAACGCAGAAAGCTCAGGCATCGAAGGTATGCCCGGAGGTCCAGTTTTTAGCGAGGCGGCACTGCAGGCGTTGTGCAATGTGCATGCAGGACGTAAATTTCTGCGAGACGAAGAACTGGCGAATGGAACCCTGTGCCCTGAAGAAGGCGTTCCTGATTGCGCAATGACCGGGCCAAGTTGGAGGATTGAAACCGGTGTCTGCGGCCGGTCGAGGCCCCAAGCCTGAGAACCATGGATTTGCAAGAGCAAAGTGTTTTAACCCGAGAACTTGGCGGTAGCGAACATTCCAGAGCACCAGGGTTTGGTCCATCAGGTCGGGTGTCGCGGTCGACTAGGACGGGGAGGAAACAGGAGAATCGATTGTTCAAGTTGCGAAGGCCGTGGCAGAGTACCATTGAATGTAACATGAATACGGTCGGGGCAAGCTCAGACTCGCTGGATCTTAACAACAAGTGAGTCTGATACCTATTTGTCCTGCCAAACTTTCTGCCATCAATCGCAAGATAAGGTCAGTGGAAGGAACAACTGGGGCAGCGCGGCTCAATCGCTCAGCACGGGCCAAATCGGATGACCCGGGCAGTTCTGTAATCTGTAAGCCGAACCTGCTTCTTGTACCTGTCCCCTGAAAATTACCAGAACCTTCCTCTTCCGTCCCTTGTTTACATTGTTCGACCTCGATCAACATGCATATTTGATACATACCTATAACTCCTTTTTCGTAAGCTTTTATTTCTAAATGAAGAGGCACGGAAACCAATGAAGCCAACGTTTGCAGTAGATCAATATCAAGAGACGGACCCCACTATGGAGTGGCTTCAGCGCGGGATCAATGCTTGGCAGACGGTCGCTCCCGAAGTTAGCGTGGACTGTGCACACAACAAATCCGCACCACGGCGGCAACGGAACCCTTCTTTTTTGGCTCATCCCTCTCAAAACTCCATCATTTTCGGGAGATCTCCATGCCCGCCGTCAGTTAGCCCAGTGGCCACGGGTCTGAGCGTTCTTTCGACCATGCTCCCCTTCGCAGCATTTCGGACCGGGAACGCTTCCCGCCCAAAAGACTTCGGTTTCAGCACCCGGCTCATCCATCGTCCGTCCAATGGGCCAAACAGCTAACTTATGTCGGCATATTGCGCAAATACCGGTAGAATGCCTTCCGCCGTCGGTACCTCTCAATTGTGGCCCTGCATTGAGAGAGCCCCAATCGTCTATTGAGAGCCCCCGTTTCAAAGACGGAGTGCTGTCGGAGAAAATGGACGGAGGCACACCATGAACCCTAAATCAATGACAACCCAATGGGATCCAGCGCAGCAAAACACCTCTTAGACATCCCGGCACCAAGCAACCGTGGCCGTTTCGTCTTTTCGAGATTCCTCGAAATCGCGGATCACAGCCCTTGTCATCTTGGTACATCCATACAGGCAGAACTCGGATGTTTTGGCAACCCCTGGTGATGCAGGTACTTCAGACGGCGTCCGATCTCGCCGTCCATCTGCGGGCCGACAGCAGGCGGGGTCTCCCTTCATGTCATCGAACCACCTCGGCCCTTGCACCCGTGGAAAGACGTGTGTCTACATGCGCGTCGAACTTCATTGAGAAGGGTCGAGCCAAGTTGTGGGTCCATGGCGGAAATACCCTGCGGACAGTTCATGTGTGTTTGTGCCCACGCGTCACAGGCTCTTGCGGCCGTCAACTCGGTACTTTAGGTGTACCGCGGACAACACGGCTCAGTATGAGAGCAGCGGTACGGTAACAGGCACAAATCCGGGCCGGCCAAAAGCGCTGCCAACGCGACCGGACGAAACCGGCTCCGGGCGGAAGAGACCACGACACCACTCGCACCGGCCGAGGCTCACGCGGATGCCTTCGGCCGAGCTTACTACCGTAACGGCTTGGCAGACCCCTTTCGCGCACACCCCCCTGCCCAGCAGAAGAAAAGACATCCCAAACGGTTCGATTCGTTCTCAGCATCCGCGAATTCTTGAGCGTCATATTTGCGTCCTTTCAAGAGAGGAAACCCTGGCTGTCGAATCTGCACAGCAATCGACGCTTTTGCGAAGTGACGCCAAGAAACAGCTACAGATCTACGGCTCCACTGATGATCTCCGCTTCAGAGCGACCACCTTTCCATGCCGGTTGGCATCCCGTGAGTGGTGGAAGACTCGAACGATGATGAGCCGCGCGCCTTACACGGCTGCCGAGATTTATGTCACTCCTGTGTCCATCGCAGAGGGTACAACTCGCGAGAATGCCGAGCGGTGATCACACAGAGCTGTTCGGTACAAGCAAGATTATTTGGCAAGAGCCATTGGTCGACAATTGATTAACCGTACCTTGTCGATCGATCCCTGGATCCCGTGGACCGTTGAGTTCAGGCTCTGATTGACCAGGACATGGTGTCCCCTCACCAATTACCGTCGCCCGAACCCTCACCATGTGACATCGACTTCAGACGCGTATTCAAGTTGTCAGAGAAACCAGCCACATGCACAGGTTTCTCGCCGCTGTAATGAAGGTGAGGGTTCTGCAGAACACAGGGGATTTGGCCGTCGAAAACACTGCGAAGGCTCGGGTGGAGTCTTAACTCGAAGAGCCAGGTACTTTGGCAGTATCTCCCGCAGTGTGGATACTCAAGGTACCCTACCTTACCCTCACTCAAGTGAGGTATGTACTGAGAGGTGGATCTTGACACAACTCCGCACCCATTTTAAAGCCTCATCTTCGAGGATCTGGCGGGGTGCCGCACTACGAGCCGCCAGCTCGAAATTGAATCCGGCCCCATCACGACATGCCGCAGTGGCGAGGCTCTCGATAAAGACAGGAAAAAGAGGGTCAAAGAGTTAATTCTTGTGGAGCGTCCAATTCGCTTGCAGGAAGGAAGATGAAGAACTGAGCGTGCAGGGTCAAAGGGCCTTGAGGTGTCTAACTTACGTTCTCACCTGGCTTGCTGCACACCCCCTCCCCCTCCTCCGAGATGCAAGATACCCCAAAATGGAACATCGCCCCAACGGCCTTGGCAAGCCCTGGGGTTGCACTGAGGAGGGCCACCCCACCGATATCCCGATTCGACATCGCTTGGCTTGCTACTGCAGCTGCGTCCTGCGGTTCATCAACCAATCTGCAACGCCTTTCACGTAAGGACATGGGAGACCTTGCGCTACATGTACATTTTACTCCCGCGTCCGCCGGTCGTCTTTGCGTTTCCACTGCACTGAGAAGCCGCGCAGAAATGGAGGTATTGGAGCAGCTAAAGCAGGTCAATGTACGGGGGGGTGTTGGGGGCACACAGCTGCACCCCTTAAGATTACACATTTCCAGCGGGTGGACTTCCCTGGAGGAGAGTACATGCACAAGACACGCTTTCGGCCCCCGGCCGACGGTCCTGTACTTCGATGTACCGTACCGTCTTTATTTCTCAAACCGGCAGCTGCTTCTCGCGGACCATCTTGCGCTGCCATTCGCTCCATTCTCGTTTCTGTTTCCACAGGCACATCTGTTAAGTAACAGTGTCGTGCTGGCCGGCCACCAGCTTGCCTATATATCTCGGCATTCCCACCCGAGTCTAGACCTCCCGAACCAGATCTACCGTTCCTCTTCTTCTAGTCTTTTATTGTTTCTTTTTGTCATTGTTCAGCAGGGAAAACGACCAGCTGGTCTGCAATGGCCTTGTTTCGTTGATCACTTGCCATCTTGCCGTGTCCTACTCCCTGGTGCCTACCCTCGACATTATATTCCCGCCGTGTCGGCAGGAGTAGCCTGTGCCGGTCGTTTGTTTGACCTGTCATCGCCTCGAATCAACACCCGACTCCAGGGGCTCACAATTGTGTCCGGCTGAAGCCACCGATGTGGGAGAGCTCCCTTCCCCAAGTACATCACCAAACCGGGCGGACCTCTCCTTCGCGCCCTCCTGACGACTCGTGCCGGTCTCGATTTCCATGACACCGCCGCGCCGTCCCTTGGTCGCCAAACCTGCTGTTGACGTTTGCCGTCCGAACCAGCCTGGCCCGCACGCCATATTCAGCGGCTCGAACACTCGACTGAGTCGATTCCGTGGCCTCATCCGTTTTCCGATTTGCAGCCCAGCAAAAAGTGCTCCCTAAGGCCTAGGGGACTAAGAGGGTAGATTCAGAAGCCGGGGTATTCGCCCGAAAACCACCATCTCAACCACTGCAGCAACCGCGGTTTTGCTTGTTGTTTTGACTCAACATGCCTGCATTAATGGATATTGTAATACCCAACTTGGACTTTCTCTGGTCCACGAAGTTCTGGGCAGTTTTCCACGCGATCCTCTGGTATGGTTACTCCGCCTGGAATTCAGCGTGCCTATCTCTACGTGCCGCATGGGCCTGCCCCCCTAAAATCCGGTTCTCAAAATGCTCAAGTCGCTAACACACAGACCAATCTAGGATTCATCGCTACCTACGCCTCCTTGTGCACTGCGTCAGTCACTGGACTTACAAGTCTAAGCAGCCAAACTGGGAGAAGCCGAGGTACACATCCCAAGATGTTACCGTAGTCATCCCTACAATCCATAACCGCCCCGAGGAGCTGCGGCCCTCGCTCGAGAGCATCCTGGCCTGCAAACCGGCTAAGCTAGTGCTCGTCACCACGTGGAACAAGCATGACGCGCTGAGCCGGGTCGCTGCGACCCTCCGGATGCCTGATGCCGTGTCTCCGGTCGAGATCGACGTGCTCCATGTGGACAAGGCGAACAAGCGTCTGCAGGTCTGCAAGGCGCTGGAAGACGATCACGTCAAGACGGCTATCACGGTCATGGCCGACGACGACGTGGAGTGGCCATCTACTCTGATGCCCTGGCTCCTCGCGCCGTTTGAGGACGACAAGATGGGCGGGGTTGGGACGTGCCAGAGGGTGAAGCGCGTCACCGACGGAGACGCCACGACGCGCATTTTCAACTGGCTAGGAGCCGCCTACATTGAGCGGCGCAACTTTGAGATATCGGCGACGCACAACATGGACGGCGGGACATCGTGCATGTCCGGGCGCACGGGCGCCTACCGGACCGAGATCCTCAAGAGCTACGACTTCCTGGGGAACTTCAAGAATGAGAAGTGGGGAAGGTACATCCTCAATGCCGACGACGACAACTTTGTGACTCGGTGGCTGGTGGCTCACCAGTGGAAGACTTGGATACAGTACGAGCCCGAGTGCGAGATCGAGACGACGCTCGAGAACAGCACCAAGTTCCTCTACCAGTGCTCTCGCTGGGCAAGGAGCAACTGGCGGAGCAACTGGACCAGTCTCGTACGCGAGAGACACGTGTGGAGGTATGGGCAGCTCTCCTTACTGAACTTGCTCATTGCTGACTACATTTCCCGATTCACAGGCAACAGCCCTGGTGCACATATGCGCTGCACTTCGCCACCTTCACTTCACTGGCGTTTCTGGTCGACCCACTCTTGCTCTTCTCGTGCTGGTGGGGTACGGAGAACTGGGAGCCCAGGAACCGGTACCTCCTGCTGGGAGCCGAGATCGCCTTCATGTTTGGCTTTACCAAAGTAGTGAAACTGGTTGGGCTGTTTCGCAAGAACCCGAGTGACATCATGTTCCTGCCCGTGTCCATCCTGTTTGGCTACTTCCACGGCCTGATCAAGCTGTGGGCTCTTTTTACGCTCAAGGAGGTATATACTCATCCCGCGTGTCCTTTCCCTCCGCAAGTTCCATCAGTATTCTGACTTGGAAGTACAGACGTCATGGGGCAGCCGTGAGGACGGCGATGAGCACAACACGTTCCGCCTGCAGGAGAAACCGCCTCGCAGCCAGAACATGGCGACGCCGCCCTACGGACCAGACCTACCTAAGGCGATACAGCATTCTCGGTTCTCGCAGGCCCGCCGCGTGGCCATGGCGCAATCGCAGAAGCACGAGTTCATTCGATGTACCATGACGGCGGACGTCGTCTACCCACAAGCCACTCAACCTCCGATACGTCAATAGATGAGGCAGCACAACCGACAGCTGACCAGGACTACGAAATAAATGGGTTGCGGACAATGTCCAGGGAGGGACGGCATCGCCCGCTGGGGTCAGCAGATGATCATGATACGCGGCATGGAGAGTGCTGGGTTTCATTTGGCGGTCGCGACGACTCTGGCCACAGTCGAGGTTAAACAGGACTCGACTCGGCCTTTGATTTGGGTTGGGGATTTCATGTATTGAGGGCCGCATGTTCAACTTTTGCTCAAGTTTTTATTTTCTTGCGGCGATTTAAAAATAAAACGGGAGGGTTTTGGGGCTGAACTGGGAAAAAACAAAAGTTCTGGTCTTGGGTTCTCTTTGCTTCTTGGCCCCTGAGATGAGGGGTTCTGTCTTAATGATATTGAGGCGGACTGGGTGAAAGGAAGCTGGCATCATTGGACGTGGACCGGCCTTGTGTGGTGGAAGATGGAATGTCACCGATGTGGTGTTTTCTTACATGGAAGTGAGAAATAAACAGGGTGCATTAGAACAGGGTCGGTAGAAGTAGACGTACATTGACGGCGTCATGAACAGAAGGAACAAATGGCTGAGACTTGGTTACCAGATTTGATGGAGTTGAGAGATCAAAGGAAAGAAACAGATGGGCAAGTGAAAGCCACTGGCCAATGGGAAGCGAGCGGGTATCCCAATCCGGCTACTGTGGGGCAGATCGTTTGTAGCACGACAGGCTCATGCACGCCATCATGCGTTTGCCATGGAAACCCTTCGTGCAAGATGATGCTATCGTCTCTTGGCCCTGGGGTGACACGACAGGGCCTTGGCCAAGGCAGCTTTTATGTGACGCTTACTGTGTGCGAGTATATAGAAGATCTGTCTTTTGGGAAACAATGTAAACGGTCTCTCTAGTCAAGGTCTGACCCGGCAAGCGTGCCCTCCCCTCCTTCCTAAACACGTGCTACACCGTGCCCAAGGATCTGACGGTCCAACCTCGTGTTGGCCGAGAACTGAACTGTCGTTCGTATCCCACGGCATAGAATTTGCTTATCCGTTCACTGGAAAGCCCACCGAGCATAGTGTACTTGTACCCTTTGTTCTGTTGACGGATTCACTCCCATTAAGCCTAGATCCGGGTCTGTTTGAGCCGCGTCTCCATTTCTAGTTTCGAGAAACGACGACACCATACCCGGTAACCAGCCCGTCGCCCCGATGACCATGTGCACCAGAGTATGAGCTATCCATGATGATCTGGAGTCAGCCTCACCCTCCCCCCACGTTCTACCCTGGCTCGCCTGGCTCACCTCCTGCAGTCATCCGACTGCCCTGACGAGCCTCACGCATGGACGATCTGATGACTCCGACCAATGCGATTGGCTTGGCCCGCATTGAGGAACTAAAGAATTGGACGCCCCTTGTGCAGATAGCCGGTATCTGGACCAGCAATGGGGATAGAAGTGCACCGTGACAATCTCGCTCAGCCTGAGGAGCTGAGGTGTTGTGACGGCCCTGTAGCCCTTCAGGTCGATGACCAGCTTTGCGGCTATGATACACCTGAGACGAACACAAGGGTCCAGTCCACGTACGTCATGTTTTCATCGGGTGGTCCAATCTCGGACTTCGACCTCTCCTGAGCAGACAGTCAACCGTCGGTGGCTCGGTTTCGAGATGTCAGCTGCAGATCAAGCGCCGCAAACCAATGGGCGCTCTCCCGTCATTGACTAAAACAAAGTATTCCACCCATCCAGGATTCAAGTCACCACCAAACATGGCATTTTTAGCCCAAGACACAAGCCGGTCATACGAGCCAAAATCCAGCTTAATCTGCCTGCCCTGCGAGACCATTGGTTTTCCAGGCAATGAGGTTAGCCCATATTCGCAGCTTCTTCAAGTCGCGCGTGGGACAGTGCCGCTCCTGCCTCTTGGAAACTGCGAGAACACCCCCGAGAGACTAGGAAAAGGCATCCAGGACTCGGCACGGAAGAGGACCATTGTCGGTTACAACCTGGAAGGTGGACAGATCGATCCAACTCGCCTTTCTCCTCGGTCAACCTTGACTGTGAGATTTATGGCTGACACATTGGCATCACATCAGCACGCGACCGCGCTCAAAGAGAATATCCATCATGGAGTTGTGACTACTAATCGCCAAGCAGCCGTAGTGGGAACAGTCTAAATCTTGTTCACAATCCTCTCCCCAATACGAGCCTTGCAAACCACCCATCAGACGATGCAACCCACAATCCACTACGGACGCGGCTAAAGAATCGCAATCGACCGAATCGTCGATCTGCATCGACCAAAAGCCGCTAAACGCTCGATGTGGTGGAGATATTGGGGCGATCAATCTGGACAATGGGCCGCGAGCAACGTTCCATATCCTTGACGATGCAGAACGAGCCGCCCAATCCCTGCCATGCCTCCTCACGAGAGCCTTCAGGCGAGCCAGGCCACACCTTAATAAGGGGTGTCTCCAGTGCCCGCAAACGATCGCCCACGCCCCCCCTCCCCACAGCTTGCTGTTTACCCCTCCCCCCGATGAGACGGCGCCTGACTCCTTTCACTCGGACCTGCGTCTGCTGGACCCACGGTGCTACAAAGATGGTGCACGCATGTCTTGCAGATACTCAAGCTAAGGACTCGGTGCTGCATCTCGGAGAGGAGCGCCAGAGCAGGAGCGGGATACTGTGGAGCACTTCCTTCCATCTTTCGCTATGTACTGGCCCAGGTCGGTCACTCTTCTTGGCCTCCGACTCTTCTGTTGAGACAAACCAGCAGGGACACCAAAGTCTAAAAGCTGGTCGTTGTGTGGCACGCGGACAAGAACAATCTCGTGGCTGTGCCACAGCATGGTGGTTCTAGAACTGGGTTAGACAGCCGGTTGGGTCGATCGGCTACGCGCATGCGCTCATGGTCAGCATCCCCGTGACTGGCCATTCAGAGATCGTCCTCGGTCTGGATGACGAACTTTCGGGGTTGCTGAGGGGGGAACTGGGGTGAGATGCAGAAGGGAAAGGCTGGGGGTGGAAGCAGGTGAACCGAGAAACCGTTACCGTCTTGGTGCGGAGCTATTGAACGTACATACCTTACCAAGATGATGTTATGGACTAGCACAGTCAAGTACCAGGCAAGTACCTCCCCACTCCCTTTCTCTCATAAGCGACGAATGCATGTTCGTACGCCTAGCTCTCACGAAACTGCCAACTGGCGTCGTGAAGGACTGCTCTGGAAAACTTCTCCTTTTCCGTCTCGAAACTTACTTTCCTCTGCCGCAGTGCAGCTCAACCTACATCTGCTTTCTGCCGGATGTCGCATCCGCAAGTCCCCGGCATCCCACGCCTGCACACGATGCCACCTCACCCACAAGAGGGAGGGCCTTCCGACGCACATCTTCCCGCTATAGCGCCATCGTCAAGGCAAGCGAATGCAGACCCACGCCGTCACAGCTTCTAGCGATTGCCTGGAAACTCCCAGGACAGTGGAAGTCTTCGCGACAAAGACAAATCTGGCGGGCAGTGCGGCCGCAATGCAAATATGTCTTGGGGAGAGCTAACGTAAAATCGCACTGCCCGGAAGAGGCAATCGGCATGCTGATATTGCGAACATATGGCGATCATATAATGAAAATAAGCCGGACACGGGAATGGATATTTGTTGCGTCATGCAAGCGCTGAGCAGGTTCTCGGTGCCGACTGGTCGAAGTCGGCATTGGTGAGAAACACGGCACGAGAAGACTGCCGCACGCTACGCACGCCCCGCCCTCCCCAGGCTGGCTCCGCACCTATTGGCACCCAATGGTCGAACAACGACGTGGGTGCGGCGCCGGAGGTCGGCGAATGGGTGGGTGGAAAGGTTTACAGCTGGAGGTTCTGGAGCCCTGCGGGCATACGCAGCAATATCCCGAAAGAGGTAGGGATGGCGATTTGCAGCACCAACTGTTTCTCGAGACGGCTACCCGGGGGGCCAGGCTGATGGTTACAGGATCAAACAATGCGATGGGTCGCAGGCAAGGAGAGTCGACCGACATACGCCCTCGTACGTCGATGATAGGTCAGGCTGTTTGCTCGAGCACATGGCAACCTCGAGGTCTATGAACAAGTTATGCTGAGCGAGTCCTGACTCGAAGAAGTCAAGCCAGCATGCATCTCATGGGCTACATACAAGTACGCAACTACCTTACGTACCGCTGGCAATGCACAGCGAGCGGGGTTCGGCAAATCCCTAGATCGCAGCGGCATTACGTTAGGTATGATGCTTCGCATCAAGCATCGCGCTATTGTCTGCAGATTCGAAGATGTCTTGATTATCGAATTCTTGCGCGCAGGTTGCGAAACCGGCAAGGTATGTTCGCACAGAGATGTGTACTTTGGCTGGAACACTGATAATTCAAGGAACAAAGTTGCAAATGAACAACAAGGGAGCTGTCTGAGGATTGCAATGTTACGACGGATGTGTTGCACTGCACCTTCAAGCTCTAGCAGGCAGGGATTCATGTCATCATTCCTTTTCATTGTTGAAGAATTTCGAGTTAACTACCACATTCCTGACGGATGTACGCGCCCTGATCTGGGAAGGACACAGGGGGAAGATGCCCGGCGATCGGGATTCTCCGGTGCCTTTTCGGCGACCAAGGCCCGAAATCCGCATTGTTGCCCGGGACCTTGCACCGTTGCCCCGCCGTACCGCAGCCGGATCGACTTTTCTTAGAGCACCTCCCCGTGCATCTGATCGCACCAAACTTGGGGCCACCAGCCACGCCACCATTTGACAGCGAACATGACCAGCACATGGTCAATTCAATTGACTACACGCTTGCGATAAATTATCTTTCAAGCCTCGATATTTACTACTCTATCCGTTTAACGGCTTCCAAGCCTCCTAAGCCACCATACTCAGGATAGAGAGACTCCTAACCCTTAGACACATAGCTAGAGCGGAGTGGGGCGGCTAAAGAGTGGGCCGTGACCCGAAAGTGGGGCTGCAAGCCGACACGACCTTGTTACGATTCAGCCCGGGTTACGTTCTTTTGAGCGAATTGGCTGGTTCTGCGGTTTGTACGGATTACATATGATGATGCTGATGCATCACAATGCGCGCAGTCAATTGAATTGAACAAATGCTAGTGGTGCTCGCTAGCAGAAATTGGTGTGACTGGTGTCCCCAGTTTTGGTGCTTTAGATTCAAGGGGAGGTATCATCCGTATTTATAAAACCCGAGCCGGATGCCCTGACGCGCAGGGGCAAGGGGAAAAAAGCAATATCGTGATCGCCTCAACGGTCGGCGGCGCGGATCGCAAATCTGGGGCCGCTGGCCAGGGAAGGGCAGGGCACGACCGGCAATGGCAGGAGCGAAACGGAACAAAAGTACAGCATGTGACTGATCAAGGGCGAGGAAGGGTTGTGACTACTGTACCTACTAACAGATGTCGAGGCAGGGTTTCGAGCATTCGGTATAGTAAACTTTATTACACACAAGATGGCAGGGCGTTTGCATTGCGATTTCTCTGTTCTGCTCTCCTACTGGAATTCGCTTTCTGTCCCTGATCTTTTTCGTCCGCTGCTGGTTTCTGCTTAGTTTAGCTGCGTCTTGCATGTTGCATGATGCACGCCATTCTCGCTTTGAATCGTCTTCACTGTGTAGGTTTTTCTCGGCCGAAAATTGATGAAGATGATTGGTTGGGTACGACAGATGATGAGGATTCCAGGCCCATATTCGAGGGTGGGGTGAGGAGGGGAGGGGGTGGCCTTAACCTGTAGGACCTTTTTTTTCCTCGTCCCATTCTCACTCGCTCGCTCGTTGATATGGTTTGTGATGATCGGCTCACTTTGGCTGCTGTTGCTGCTGATGCGGCCCGCTGGAAGGCGATCTTGACGCGAAATGATGAAACGGGCTCTCGACGAGTAGGGAAGCAAAGAGAGAAGCCTTGCAACAAAGGTGATCAGGTAGCTACTATGCTCTGAGAGGCTCTGTGACGGTACGTGCACAACCAATCCACTCAGCCAAATCGCATCTCCTGAAAAAGGGTATCGAATCGCAAGTAGCTCCGACCTTGCAATCCTGTAGGTTATATGTGGGTCACGATACAGCACTGTACCCCGCAACACAGCTGTCCTGCTACATGTCCTGACAGGCTCCTAGAGTATAAGCGAGCTGCACAGCTAGAATTAGGCTTACCCGATGGCCTCGTTAGTTATCTACGCTTTTCTTTTCACTATAGTAGGTAGATTCAGAACTTCAGACTAGTATAGAGTAGATAGAGATTTTTATAATCCAGCCTTATGGGCATAGTTTTCCTTTGTAATTAGTAGTAGAGAATCTGGCGAGTTCTAAGGCATAGCAATATAGGAATAATAATAATAATAATAAATTTAGGCTTTAAATATATAAAATAAAAGCTCTAGAAATATCTGAAATAATAGTAATATCTTAGTATAGTCATATATAGAAAGAGGAAGGAAACTGCAGATAGAGGCATCGCTAGACCCATATATACGGTGCGTATTGACCAGTTTGAGCTAGTGCGGCTGGTCAACTGCATCCCAGATGGGTTTCTGATCCAACAGCATCCTGTATGCATCTCAATTAGTACGTCTAGTCACTGATGCATCCCGTGCAGCGTGAGATTGCTATGGAGCTCTCGGAGTTTTAATTGTGAGCTGATGAAGCAGGACGAATTCTTCCTCCGCGACCGTTGTCGATCGATCGGCTCGCGCCTGATGAACCTTGCCCCGGAGTTGACCTGGATTCTGAATGCAGTTGATGTGGACTCCGGCCCGCGTCGGTTATCGGAGGGCTACGGAGATGATTGCCGTTCCTGTCCTGCCCTGAACGGTACCTTCGAGGTACAGGGATCATGTAGTGCATACTGTACTGGAACGCGTCTTGAATGTGGTTATGGAGACGGACAGGGCATGTTGGTGAGCGGCCCAGCAAGTGTCTCCTCTTCTGGTCGGCCCTCGGGATGTGCGGGGTCGACACGGGACACAGATTTGTTGTTTCGTGTAGAACAGACAGATGGTGGAGGTTACGCAAAACTCTGAAAATGGCCTGACTGTGGCTGACAGATAACGCTGTAGCTGAGTGAAGTTTGAGGATTAAAGTCCGTACGTGTGAAAGTCCTGGATGGGAACACCACGGTCATAGCCATGGGCTAACCTCCAACATACAACAACACTAGGGGTGGTGAGTGTATGCTAGAGCCCAGGGGACAGGAGTTCATGATCCGAATCACACTTTGAATATGATGATAAGATACATGTCAACTGGACTCCAAACCCACCTGCCTCACTTGGTTTGCATATCTCACTCGTATCCCAATCCTCCATGATGTAAGAGTTTACTGTCAACGCTGATATCAGCATGACGCTCGCCCCGTCTCAGCCAAGATCCGGACGAATCTGCACTCTTCCCCGGCCGCCCTCCCCCACACAGCGTCCTGCACGTAGGGTGCTCTGGAAGTGCTCCTGCAGTAATCGTTGAAGGGTCTGCGAGATATCGCGCCGGAGATCCTCCCGCGTCCCTAATTCTTCCTGACGGGCCGGGGCCTGGGGCTGGCAAGAGAGCAGGCGCCGGGCCGCCCAAGAGCACAGGGCAATGACCCCTGAAACCTATGCGATGGCTCTTCAGCGAAGTTGGTCTCGGGCTGGCTCATGGGTAGAGGCTCAGGACAAACCCAGAAGCCTATCGAAAGTGATAGACAGGGAGCGATAGGACACCAGAGAACACGCCGCCCGATAGATGCCAAGCCGTCACTGGATACAGTAGCCGACGCTGGGTGCCCGCGCCACGCTCAGCGGTCATGTGTCAGTTCGTCCCATTCTTCCCTGGATGTTGTGCCTCTGCTGTGCCCTGCCACGGTCCGTCCCTCCCATGCAGAAGCCTGTGAAACAAACCAACGCGGGAACTGGCAACAAACGTGACGCCGTACGGATGCTGTGCCGAGATAGCCGGCTTCGCGGATGGCCAGACTCTTCCCGGCTTTGATCTTGTGATTTGAAAGCGGCGCTTGCTGACCGGTGTGGCTTCCTAATTGGTCTCGCTTCTCTGGTCGGTGAAGGGAGACCAATGGGGCTCGACAGCGGGGCCGTGACGCCTAGCCTCGGCAGACGAGCATAAGAGCCTGCCATAAATGCCGTCCTCGCCGGCACTCGTCCGCTCGAAGCCGCTTTGCTACGACGCTCTCTGTGATATAGCGAAGTCTCTTGGGGCTCCAAGGTGGACCGCTCGGGCCAAGAAGTGTTTCAAGCACGACACTCTCACCCGGCAGACGCAACCCATTCCTTCCGATTCTCCAGGCTTCGCCCCGGCGGTATGGCAAGGCCATCTCTAGAACTGCACAGCTCGGCGTCCCTCTCTGCCTCCAGTGTCCTCACAAACTCGACGATTTGTAGCGCCGCCTCGAACGCGGGAAGAGATGTGACATCGACCGTCAACCCGGCCTTCCCCGGCATCGCCAGGGTTTGGCTACCAGCCCGCCGGATTCCCGCTGAAAGGCCTATCGTCTGTCCAAGTGGTATTGGTGCCGTCACTGCCCCAGTATAAGGTAAACTCATCGATCTCCCTCTTCCTTCCCTCCCATCAACAGCCGCAAACCCACATCCGCCGGGGCCCGCCGACCCTGCGACGTAGCCCTCACTCAGGCCCACCACCTCCCTCCTGGCTATCTCAATCTCCGCCACCATACCTAAACCGCCACAACAACCGAGGCTCGAATCACACCCGTCCCCCAATCGTGCACCAGAACTAGACCCAGAACCGCAACCGGAACGACTCACAACCCCTCCTCCTAACCCGGACCATGACGAACCAAAAGATGATTCCGCACCAGAACCCGAACAGAACCCACCACCACCCTCCTTCACCCCCCAATATTTCAAGTCCATATTACTCCCACCCCGCCTATCCGTACATGTACTTGTAACCCCCAATCTCGAACCCAACCCGTCGCGACAGCGAACAGCCCTTGCCTGATAAACGCCCATCTCGCACCGCAGCTCGACGCAAACAAACAGTCTCCCAGCGCGAGCGGCCGCCGCCTCGAAGGTGTGAAGCAAGGCCCGGCCCGCCGGCGTGTCGGGCGCGTGGGCCGGGAGTATAACCAGCCGGTGGAGGTTGAGTGGGTTGGCTAGGACGTGGGTTAGGTTTTCGAGGGAGACTTGTGGTGATGGGTGATGGTTGGCTTCGGGTTGGGTGGCTTGGTTGCTGTTGCTGTTGATGGGCGGTGGTGGTAATGGTGGTGGTAATGGTGGTGGTGATGGCGGAGGAGGACAGGGAGTTTGGGTGGGTGTGGTGCTGTTCGTGCTGGCGGCAGTTGGCGGGGCTGGTGGTGTGGGTGGCAGCAGGGGGGTGGGTGGGAAGGCTGGGGTGCTTTGCGTGACTCCTGGTAAAGCAGCTGGAAACGGGAAAGAGTTGGTGGTGAGAATCGGGGAGGTGGTTGCGGTGTGGGTGGTGGAAGCGGTGGCAATGCTGCAGTCGGAAGAGAAGGATGCGGAGCGCGAGGTGCATGAAGAGTAGGCTGGCGATGCCAGGCCGACAGAGGTGGGATCCCAATCAAGGTCCGTGTCGAATGAGAAGTAGCGCGGGTGTTCCGGGGTCAAGAGCGGGTTATCCTCATGCTTGTGTCGGCGGTGGTGGTGATGTTTCGAGTCGGGGGAACTGCTGCTGCCGGTGATGCTGTCCGGCCCGACGCTGCGGACGTCGATGAGTAGCGACTTTTCCTTCCCGAGGAGCAATGTCAGGCACTCGCCCACCGTCTCCTTGCCGATGCCGTGCCAGCCGTTGATGTACACCAACGGGGCTGGACCCGGGTCCATGGGCCGGCGAAAGATGTTGGGAGATGAGAAGGACGTCGGAAGACGGGGACGTTCGACGGGAGCCGCACTCATTTCGGTATTGTGGCTGACCGTTGATGAGGTGCTGTGCTGGATGGCCCTTCAGGCTCGGTGTCGCTCTGAGCGAAACCACGGTATGGATGGCGTTCCATCATGACCGCCCGGAGAAAGTGGTCAGGTGGGCCATCTGGAGTCCCACGGGTGCTGATATACACAGGCTCGACAGGCCACGCCGCCGTGGTGTGTAGACGGCAATTCCCGTAGTTGAGGGCGACGGAGCCCGCCGCATTTTTGATCTGGACTGGTCGATGCGCATTGACTCCCAAACGCGTGCTAGCGTTCAGCAATCCTGATTGAGATCAGATGGATAGCCAAAGGCAAAGGAGGATGGAGTACTCCGTGGGCGGCGACAAAACTACTGAATCCCTGCACAGAGGAAACCTTAGTCTCTCGCGCCCTTAGCATTTCGCTCCCTGACAGTGGAAGCATGCGAGGCACGCGAGGCACGCGAGGCACGCTATGGGGCGACCAAAATCACCGACATTGCAACCTAGGACACAACGGAGCATAGACCGGTCAGTGGCACTTGGACTGGTGATGAGGTAAGCTAGATCTCGCCGGGTAGGTTTCTTGATAATCAAAGACGTACTCAGAGAAAAGCACAGGACGAAGCCCGTCATACAAATGTACAGTAAGAGGGGTCGATCTGTAGTCAGAAGCCTAGTAGCCCCCCAGGTCATGTGGCCATGACGGCAGAATTGGAGAATAATGCGGTTATGCCTCCCCACCCCGATCTCACAATCTCAGATTTTACCTCCCAGATACAGAATGTTTTGCTTGATGGTCTGAGTGAGCTCTCCCTGGCCAGTGTAGACATGTGCCACGGTCTGAGTCCATGCCTCCGGGTAGGGCAGCGGCAGGTCGACTATGTCACCCTTCCGTATGTGGCCCGAGTAGAGAAGCGCGGCCAGGACGGGCAAGAATGCGCGTGCATACTTAAGATCTGGGAAAAACTTGTCAGCGTTATGAAGGCGGAGGCAACTCCGAAGAGCTGACTGATTCAGTGACTTACGAATCGGCACCGTATTGGTGCTCTGAACATGAGACCTGTCGAGGTCTAGGCCGTGATTGGCGCTGGCCGCCAATGACGATCGCCGCCGGCTGGCTGGAAGCGGACTGCGAGTTAGATGCTCGGCTGATGGCCGCCGGGATCCGGATGACGCCACGGATGACAGCTCCGGGATGGTAGCTCTTAGTTCGTCCATATCAAACGTTCGCCGGAGGAGGAAAGGTTTTCGATCGAGTGCACACGGCCTCACGCGTGCACGGATGATTACCCGATTCCTTCCACGACGAGGTGGGCTTTCCTTGGGTGTCGCATCTTCATCGGCCGAGGAGCTGTCGCTGTGTCGTCGAAGAGCCACAGCCGAGACAAAGCAGTCGGCGATGGAGCTGTTGCCATAGTACACATGCCCCCAGCTCTGGAGTTCCTCCCGTACCTGCTGGCTACCACGCCGCGCGCCGGGGAGCCATGGCGGCAACAACTGGCGGCGGTCGTCGGTGGCACTGGAAGGATCTAGCGGCGAACGGGGTAGGCCATCCGGCAGGCCTCGGAGCAGAATCTCCCTGGTCTGGGCCGCGATAGTCTGCGGCCCCGGATACTGTGCAAAGCCTTGTGACCGAGGCGATAGGGCAGGGGCGCGGGGCAGGGGCAAACTGGCGACCGAATCACGCCGAGCACCCATGGTTTGCTCAGCTTTGGGTGAGAGCGAGCGAGCCGTTGTTGGTGACTGTTGATGAGGAGATTCGCGCCTCCCCCGCTGATCCAGCCTGTCCACCAAAGCTCGCTCATGGGCCCTCATGGCATAGTCGTAGCCGGGCGATGCTGGGTACATGGGGCTAGGTAAGCTCAATGAAGCCGAGAAGAGCGGGCCTGTGGCCGATTGAGGTGTGGTCCTGGGATATGCCGAATGCTGCTCGCGGCTGGTGCACACTGGGCGTAGCTCCGGCCTGGATCGAGTTCGTGTCTCCATGCCTGGTTGATGCGAAGCGGCAACAAGAAGTCCCAGTCAGGTTTCTTCTAACATGCAGATATATTGGACACTGAAGTCAAATGACAATATGGTGTCATCGCTGAGGATGTCTCTGAGAGTCAGGGACGGAAATCATGGCGGCGACGGTGAGGGCGGCGCAGCCAGCGGTGGCCATACTGCTTTTGTACTTCTTTCCTCAACATTGAAAAGAATGCTGTGGCCCAAAGCAGGCGTATCTGGTGAGTCAGCTAGGTGTAGCATCGCGAGACAGAGCTGTGGGCGGCTCATCGGACCGCTGGGAGACAAAGACTGGCGCGCATACAAGATCTCTTTTTTTAAGAGCATGCATGGTATGTGCGATGGCATGTCGCGCGTTCCAGAGCGTCGTCACCAACCACCGAAGCTGTGCAGGCTCCCGGTGCAAGCTGGTTTGAGAACAAAGAGGACGGGAGCACGCCTCTGACAACATTTTGTTTGCAGTTTGCTGCATACTTGGTGCGAGTTGAGTTTCGGAAGGGCCGGCTCTTGGGCGTCTGGGTGGTTCCTATCGCATGGTCATGAAATGTACTAAGAGATGCAATAAGAAGTGCAAGCGTCAAAATGCTGCCTCAGCCTGTCCGATGAGGGCTCTGGTTGAATTGAGTTTGTTAGTTAGGTTGAAAGTTGAGAAGTTGACGAGTTGGTTGGGATAAAGGCTTCTGAGACTGGATTGTGACAGGCATAGCTATTGCAGGCTCATTGGCTCAGCCGACTGGTGTGTGGCACCTTCAAGACCCATTGAGTCGGGAAGCCGCAAGCTGGCATCGCCAGGCCGAAAGTGCACCTCACTTCTCACTTTGAGCCTTTAACATCGTGAATCATAAACCCGGGTGTCGGCGTCCTGCACAGTACAGATTATCGAGTTACTGTCGGGCTGACTGGTGAGATGTTTTCTTGACATTGCCCACGACACCTTCTTTGTTACCCCTTTTTAGCTCCGCATCCTCCGCATCCCCAGACCATGGCCGACACAGCAAACGCGGCAATAGCGACAGCTGCGGCAACTGCTGCGCCGACCTACAAGCAACTCAAGGAGGACTTTGTCTCGAATCTTTCAGGAGGATCAGTGGCAGAGATTGCACAGGTCTGCGCAGTGGCACCGGTAAGAGCTATCGAAGCCGTCACCTATCATGACAAAGCCATCACCGCCATGTTGCTGATCAACCACCCCTCAGGTCGTCGCCCTCCTGTGGTCCGCCCTTCAAGCCCGACAGTCGTTTTTTACTCCCTACACCGCAGAAGCCTTTGTCGTCGACTTCCTACTCAACGTAGGCGCCCTCCTGCTCTCCGTCACCCTCTACTCGCGCGCCCCCCTCCTCCTCAACATACTCCTCCTGACGGCCGCCGCTGCCGTCTGTCTCGTCCCCGCTGCCGCCCCCTCGACACGCAAAAAGAAGCCCCAGCTCCCGCCCAATGCGCAGTTCAAGACGGCGTCGGCTCCGCTCGGGGTCCTGTCCACCAAGCCCTTCCTGACCCACTACCGCGGCAATATGCTGGTCGTCACCTGCATATGCATCCTCGCCGTCGACTTCCGCCTGTTCCCGCGCCGGTTTGCCAAGGTAGAGACATGGGGAACCTCGCTGATGGACATGGGCGTCGGGTCGTTTGTGTTCTCGGCCGGCATCGTCGCCTCTCGGCCTGTGCTTAAGGAGCGCGCCGAAGGAAGGTCCACGCCGCTCGCCACACGGCTGGTGCAGTCGCTGCGCCACTCCCTGCCGCTGCTTGCTCTGGGTCTTGTGAGGCTGCTTAGTGTGAAGGGCCTTGACTATGCAGAGCATGTGACGGAATACGGGGTGCATTGGAATTTCTTTTTCACTCTGGGCTTCTTGCCTCCCTTCGTGGCTCTCTTCCAGTCGGCACTCAAGGTGGTGCCGTCGTATGCCGGACTAGCAATCCTATTGGGCGTCATGTACCAAGTTCTTCTCGAAAGCACAGAGCTGAAGGCCTACATTCTGGCTGGGCCTCGGACGGACCTCATCTCGATGAACAGGGAGGGCATGTTCAGTTTCTGGGGATACCTCGCCATCTTCCTTGCCGGCCAGGACACTGGTATGTATGTCTTGCCCCGAGACCTCAAGCCCCGACGTGTTATCGGCCTGGTCAGCTCTAAGCGCACCGCGCTCCTGCACACCTTGTCGGCTTGGTCGCTGCTCTGGATTACCGTCTACCTCTTCTGCACAAGCTACACCTACGGCGCAGGGCTGACGGTGTCTCGGCGACTGGCAAATCTGCCCTACATACTGTGGGTGGTGGCCTTCAACAGCGCGCTGCTGTTGGCATTTTCCCTGGTGGATGCGCTGTTCTTCCCGGCGTTCTACAGGGCGCAGGACGCCAAGGTGGAGAAGGAGGCGTACGACGCGGCGACGAGCCGCGTGCTGCGGGCATATAACCGCAACGGCCTGGCCGTCTTTCTACTGGCCAACCTGCTGACGGGACTGGTCAACATGACGGTGCGCACGCTGGACGTCGGGAGAATAGCGACGATGGGGATACTGGGTGGGTATATGGCGGTTGTGACGGGCGTAGCCGTAGGGTTGGACATGTACGATGTCACCATCAAGTTGTAAATATACGCAGCAAAGTGTCTGAAAGTGAAAAAATGGTCGAGAGTTGTGTGTGACGGTCTTCTGAGCTGGGCGTCACTAGATCGTGCTGGTATCCGCGCCTGCGGCAGAGTGAAACGCAGGTAACCTGCGGCGGGTAGGTGCGCCAATTGATGAGCCCCCAATTGCTCGTTTTCTGTCTGTTTCGTGCTTCTTTCTACCTACAGGTTAGGTTTTCGACTTGAGACTCTCCCAGCGAGATGCGAAGTAGAGACGGCATTCGATTTCTACTCCCTCTCGAGCATTTCACGCACCACGTTAGGTGCGAGTTTACCAGGTACTTTGGAAACCGGAATCGAGTTCTTCTTTTTTTCGCATACCAATATTGATTGACGAGGATGACGGGTAGTTGCCAGACGGCAATATAACGGGATAATGCAACTTGAAATAAGTATTGGGCATGACGCTCGATCTGACGTTGAAGCTTCAACCCAATCTGGCGTGTGCTTGTCACCAATCTCGAATCTCGCCCTAATTTTGCCGTTCATGCAGCTGCATGCCGCGAGCTACTGCAAGGGGATTGATGAGACCGCAGAGCTAGACCCTTCCAGCGCCTTTCAGGCAGCACGGTCTTCGGGATTTGGTTCCTGAACCTGACCTCCAGGCTTCTGGAACTTCTTCGGTGAGATCGGAACGAGCTGGAGTGGCACGGCTTGCTCGATAACGTTAACTTATCGAGCATTTTCTCTTTCTGGCAAGGACGATTCGCAACGTCAGCCCGGAATTCCGAGAGAAGGATGGGTTGCCCTGTTTTGGTGCTTCACGACTCATCAACGGCCTTTGCTGTTTCTTAAAGACTAGGGGGGGATGGGAGCAATCGTCAGCGTGCAGATCCCTGCGTCGGGACATACGCTTCATCTCCGACGTCAATGCCTTGGCTTCGGTGACGCCGTGCGAGGTCGCGATGTGTCTTGGGCTGCCCTTTCGTGCGACCTTGTCATTTGATGCGTTTCATGCAAAGCTGGCTGTACGGGCGAAGCGGCCGTTTCGTAAAGTTTCTGGGGGGCTCTGCATTGTACATAGCAAGGAATTTGGAAGCGCTGCGTTTATGTTAACAACACTCTCTGCCTTCGCATTGCGAGTGATCTGACATAGAATAACGAGCAGCTGCGTAGCATGCATAAACAGAAAGGCACAATTGCTACTCCTTAAATCGCTCGTCGTCCCCCTGCCTTTGCCAGCATTAGTTACGTCTTGTATTGCTGAGCTCTTCAAACCAGCTTTTCATTGTTTGATATCTGTCCAAGTCTCCTTAGCTGAGTCGGGATTTTTGACAGGAGCCACCGTTGCCGGTGGAAGCATTGCAAACGGCACCCCCTGAACCCTGCTTTTGCTTGGCCCGGTTCGGCGCCGTAGCCGTTTGGGAGTTGCTTGGCATTGCAATGGATCTGCGAAACGGATGCTGCTCGATGCTGCCTGCCTGCCCTGGCCTGTCGAAACTGTCTCGGCTGTCGTGGGCTGAGGGAGATGGCCATGTCAAGGCGATTCCGTATTGTTCAAGCATCTGAAATTCAAAATGTGACGGCAGTGAAATGTTTTAGGCAGTGCGTGATACAATGGTCTAGGTCGGTCCGAGGCTGCAAGTGTTGTCGAATCATGTCAGACAGTTGATCTAAACGGCAACCGCTTAAAGTTGCCAGTATTACAGAGGAGATACAATGTTCTTTCGATATACAACGCCCTCCGCACGGGTGCGAGGTGCACGAGATAACGTAGGCCTTGCTATATTCCCGTCGCCAAAGCGGGGCCATGTGTTCGAAGGCCAATTCTGGCAACGTGTCGGAAATCGAGCAATGGGCGGCAGGGCAGGGGCACGCAGCTCGGAGTGGCTTGATTGCTGTGGAATTAAAGGGCTTCGAGGTGTTAGCCACTGTATTTACAGTACACTTTGCCTCCACTGCCATCGCGTATCCGTGGCACTAACGGCATCCTTGACCAACTCGAGCGGAAATTCCCAAACGCTGGCGCCGTGTTAGGTGCCCTGGCTGGTTTTTGCAGAGCGGGTTGCGAGTGGGAGGAATTGGGGAAGAGTCCCAGCCTTCGAATTGCGTGGGTGGGCGGAAAGCCAAAACATCACACCAACATCGACAACAAACCCATTGGCTGTCCGTTCACATCCCCTCAAACCAGGGACCTTCCCTTTCACCTCACCGCCCTCTCCCCATCCCTCCCCTCTCCCCACCGTCGCGACGACGGGAGAGATCTGCACGGCATCCCTCGTCCTCACAACCTCTGCGCCGTGCCTCCGAGTCCGCCTACTGCGCGTTTTCCAAGGTGCATTGTTCTTCGGTTGCGGCTCAAGTAAACAACCAAGGTGCAGGACCCTGCCGGCTGGAAAACTACCTATCCAGTCGCGCTCCCCGACATCGCGGTCGCATCTGCGAGTGTGCGCCCAACGACACGCCTGTCAATCAAAAGCACGCGAAGTCCCAGGCGCCAATCGCAGCGAAAAATGAGAGTCGAATTCGCGCGCTGACAACTCGAAACGGCTGACGCTTTCGGAATTTTATAACCAACTCGCAGCAGGGAATTGCGCAGCAGGCGCTGCATGCTTGCAAACTCGCCATTGAATCAGGGCTCCCTTTTTTCCCTCGCTCATCTCGCCCGACCGCGGCTTCCTGCTCCCTTCTCCGTAGCTGCGCTGGGATCTTCCTGCTACCCGCCAAGTCGTCCCGCCTCATTTCCACCCGCCTGACGAGAAAAGAAATCAGGCAAAAGCATATCCCAGTGCTGCACGCACCTTGCCCACACGTCTCTCTGCGCGTCTGCGGAGACGAAAAATGTCCAGTGCTCTCCAGGCGGTCCCCCATCAGCCGACACCAGCTTCCGCATCGCAGCTCGCTCGACAATACCTGCCGGCCCATCCATCTCCGACACGGGACGGTCCCGGCCTTCATGCAAATCAGCAATTGTCGGGAGCATCGCCAGCATCTTCATCCCGACGCCCGTCTCGCCGACCCAGTGCTAACAAAGACGCTTTCACCGACTCCAACACTCCAATGAGCTCTCGCGCCGCCCTTGCTTCCCCGGTCCCTGTGCCTGTGGCCTCGCCCGCGGCCTCGCCCGATCTGCACAGCACAAACGGGGATCGGAGAAGGAACATGCCCGCCGCCGTCCCTCCCCGGACATCAAGCTCCCGACGCGTACAACCGAACGAGCGACCGACCGACTCTCCCCGCCGAACCCACGCCGACTCCAACCGCGATGCGAACGGGAGGATAGACCAGTCGGACCACAGCTCCCGCAGCCGACGGGCCAACCAGCCATCCCAGGACCAACAACTGGCGAATGGCTCCCGTGACGCTCGCGGAAATCCATCGACGACCGCCCCCGTCCGCTCACCGCCTCCTAACTCCAATTCAATCAGTGGGCCGTCAAGGGAGGCTAGCGAAATTCTAAACAGCATATTGGTCTCGCAGCCCGAGATCGACATCGACCGGGAAAGGGAGCGCCAAGCCATGAGTCAACCACATCAGGCCGCGGCCCTGCAAGACGATGAAGCAGCGCCACCCCCGGTGGTAGCCATGTCAGACGCTGCCGAGGAGGCCCGGCGTGGAGGGAGGAGTCGGCACGATCACTCGAGGAGAGAGAAGCAAACCAAGTTTGGCGAGTACATTTTGGGCAACACAATTGGCGAAGGTGAATTTGGGAAAGTCAAACTTGGCTGGAAGCAAGAAGGTGGCGTACAGGTACGTACATGGCTTCGCTGAGCTGTCCGACACAACAACATTCCGCTAACCCAGCTGTCACCTCAGGTCGCCATCAAGCTCATCAAGAAGGACCAACTTGGGGGTAACCCGTCGCGCATGGCCAAGATTATGCGCGAAGTGGCCATTCTGAAGCAGCTAACGCACCCCAACATTGTGAAGTTGCACAAGATGGAGGAGTCAGAGAGGCACTATGGCATCGTACTCGAATACGCTTCTGGCGGCGAGCTGTTCGACTATATCCTGAACCACCGGTATCTCAAGGACAATGCTGCCCGACGTTTATTCGCCCAGCTGGTTTCCGGAGTTGGGTATCTGCACAAGAAGGGGATCGTGCATCGCGATTTGAAGTTGGAGAATCTCCTGCTCGATCGCCACAAAAACATCATCATAACCGATTTCGGCTTCGCCAACACGTTCGACCCTAACGACGAGCTCAGTGAAGAGGAGGAACTGAACCTGACCGATCGCGAGTTTGTCAAGCGCATGGGGTTGGACAAGGTCAAGCCGAACGGGTCCCGCAAAGGCGATCTGATGCAGACGAGCTGCGGCAGCCCCTGCTACGCAGCACCAGAGCTCGTAGTTAGCGACTCGCTGTACACCGGGAGGAAGGTGGACGTCTGGAGCTGTGGTGTTATCTTGGTAGGTGCGCGACTCCGGCGGCGGTCACTCATACTAACGTCTATCCCTCCATTGTAGTACGCCATGTTGGCTGGTTATCTTCCGTTCGACGACGACCCGGCAAATCCAGAAGGGGACAACATCAACCTGCTCTACAAGTACATTGTCAACACCCCTCTTACCTTTCCCGAATATGTCACCCCTCATGCGCGAGATCTGCTACGGCGAATCCTCGTTCCGAACCCCCGCAAGAGAGCAGACCTGTTCGAAGTCGCCCGCCATAGCTGGCTAAGCGAATATGCACATGTCGTCGAGTTTATCACCTCGAGCACAACGAGTCCGAAAGACATACAGAACACAACCGTGCCGCCAGAAGACGAGGAGAACCCCACCCTCATGCGCAGCGCGTCAGTGAGGGAGTCGTCAAAGAAGACGGCCGTCTCACCCCCAATTGGTGGCTTGGTAAGCAAGCAGGGCACCATTGACACCGACGCAGAGGCTGCTGCATATGCCAAGCAGCAGCGAGAGAACAAGCGGCGTACCGTGCAGGTGGAATATGTTGCGCCAAATACGACCACACAACGTGGCGAGCCTTCAGGGACACAGTCCAGCAGCCGGATGCGTGCCCGCTCAGGCAGTCAAGGAGCGGCCGAAGCTCCCGAGACTGGTGTGTCGTCGTCACCGAAGCATCAGCCATTACCCAGGGATCCTTCAGCCGCCTCAGATGCGTATGGCAATACGCCGGTGGCTTCAAGGAGACCGCCAAGCTCTCATCACAACCAGGGTTTATCCGCCGCGGCTGTGCGGGGTGGGCGCGAAGCAACTTTTTCGACGGTCCCGAGCTCCTCTGCTGTGAGACCCCCAACCGGTGGGTCTATGCAATCCACCGCTTCCAGCCGGCCCCCAGCTGGAGGCAACAGAGGTTCATACAGCCAGCCTGTGCCTCCTGAGCTTGCAGATACCAATGCGCACGGGAGGATTCAGCAGCCACCCCGGGCAGGCAGCAGCTATGGTATTCCCGCATCCGCATCGCAACCCCAAAGCCAGGAGTATGGTGGCCGGCCCAGCATGAGCGTGCCGCCCAAGTTCGCCAGGCTCTCTGGCTTCGCGCATGAGACGCCCGGCGCTGGAACGAGCGGCGCCCACGGTGGGGAAGTCAAGGGCCACAAACGATCCAGCACAATGGGCTCGCTTTTCGGTCGCAGCGGGTCGCTTTTTGGCGGTAGGAGCCGCAAACGGGCAGAGCAGCAACCGGCCGGAGACAAGAGCAAGAAATACCCGCCCGTGAGCATGAACAACAATCCGCTGTCGGGGGCCGACGAAGCACGGCCGTCGATGGATTCAAAGCGCTCGCGGAGGTCTTTCTCGATCGGTATCGGCAAGAAGGCGTCGGGAAGCATCGCCGGTTCGCAGAAGTCGCAAGAAAAACAGGGCCGCCGCTTCTCGTTTATCCCGGCTCCCTTCTCGCTCAAGGCGATCGGTATCGGCAAGGATGAGCCCTCGCCGCAGCTTGACTCGCAACAAGACTTGCCTATTCAGGAGCCTCCAACAGTCGACCAGTATGGACGCTACGTGAGTCAAGACGCGGGCCGAGAGCAGCAGGTGGAGCGAGAAGTGGATGCATCTACCCTGGACGGTATGTACGCGCAGCTACATGAGCCGCCAACGTCGACAGACCCCTACGGCCGTCACCACCACCAGTACTCTTCCAACGGGTACGGGCATCCTTCGGCTAGCCAAGGATACATGCCTTCGGCGATGTTGAGCGGCTCGGACGCGTCGGTGGACAACAGCAACATGCGCCGCCCTCCCGGCTCCGCGCCGCAACTGGTGCAGCAGGCTCCCACCGCCACGCAGGACGCGGCGGGTTACGACGGGCGCAGGGTCGCTAGCGGCGCCAATGCCAACAATAGGCCCGCCCCCGCCCGTACGGGCGTCCTGCAGAAGAATAAGCGGTTCGTCGATGCGTGGGACACGGACTCGTACTCGCGCGGGCATGATCACTCCGGGAGTAGCGGTCCGGCGAGGAAAGTTATGGATTTTTTTAGGAGGAGAGGGAAGGCTAGGGGCGGGGAGACGGGTTGAGCTTCGCTCTGCCCTGTGGTTCAATTACCGAAGGCTCTCGATCCACTTGAACGCGCCTCCTCGGATAGCGCGGTGGCAGAAGCCAGCGCACAATCTGCAGCGCGGGTTTTGGTTGAGCGGGTGGCGGACGGCGGACGGCGGACGAACAAAATGAGGACGGCGTCGGAGTATCGGGAACCGTTCGGCACTGGTATCGCGGGTGGAAGCGCTGGGGAGTCTGGAAGTCGTCCGAGGGCGAGGCGGTCCGATCAAAAGTCAAGCAAAGACTTACATGTTGGGCTGGGGAAAACACATTGGTCAGGGGTGACGGAACCCGGATACTTGCAACTCACGAGGTCCAAAACTCTCAACTCGCAAATTGCTTTTCCTTCTATTTCCTCTTCGCTGAGGATGACATGATACCTTTTTTTTTTCTCGCGCATCTCTCTCTCTCTCCCGCTTGCACACAATCAACAGGCTACTTTGTTATTACGCATTATATTCTCTTGTAATACATTTCGCGGCGAAGATGGGCTGGGCATGGGTGTGGTGGCCGAGGCTGGCGCGGAAATAGAGAAGGGGAAGTGGTACATGGCTTCTGTTGCTTTATGTGCTCTATTCTTTGTTGGTTGGGGTTTGTAGTAGCAGCTGGGGGAGGGTAATTTTTGTTTCGCCCCGGCGGGGGGGAAAGAACGGCAGATATGGTTGATGGTGATAGCATTTTGGGGCACCGGCCGGCGGGCGTCTTTAACAAGTTGCTTTTGCCCTTTTGTTCGTTTTGACTCTCTTGCGTTCTCTGCTCCGCATCCTGCTGTGCTGGTTTTGGTTTGAGAAACATACGAGGTATCATAGTGGGAATGGTGGGAGATCTTGACCAAGCTTCGCTAGAGTCCTCGGTTGGGTTTGTCGTCGTCGGTATCTCTTGTGAGTCAGGGAGGGCCATGGTGCGAGCTGAAATGGGAAGGGAAAGGGTGCGGGCAGTCCGAATTGTTCGAGCATTCTATGTTTGTGGGATATACTTAGTCTGTAATACTCTTGTGGGTTGCTAGGAGTCGACGCAGGCGTGAGGACTCGGAGTGTCCCTTCCAGTGTTAGGTGTATCATTGCTTGGTATCATTACGGTCATCATGGCAAAAAGGCCAGCTGTTGAAGATGTTAGAAGCTCTTTGTACAATACAGATTCTGGGTTCATGACATCCGCCATCGTCTTACCAGTGGCATTCTCAGTCTTGTCTCTTGACATTTCGTACGTGTATAGCCAGCCACCTGGCAACCGTCATGTGTAATGGTGCCTCACTTGTCAGCTCCTATTGGGTTTCAAGAAACCATAGTGGCCCAACGATGACCTGAGGGAAGCAAGGGAGAGAAGCTTCCCCTCCTTGCTTGAGGACCCCACCGAAGCTCCTGAGCTCCTCAATAATCCCCGCTTCATTTGCCTCTCAACCACCTATATCAGCAGCTGTACAAACCTGGTAGCAGAGGTAAACAGTGAACATCTCGCATGAAACAAAGCTAACGGACTCCCAGCATCCGATTGGCTTCAGATCTTCAACATCCTCAGCAACCTCGGAACGAGACATCTCCAAGACCAACATGGACAAGCTCATTGAAAAGGCCGTTGACAAGGTGTTTGGAGAAGACGATGAGCGTCCGCAAGGCGAGTGCACACAACTTCCGAACTGCTCGACCTAAGAACTGCCTGAGACGACTAACACACCGATCCTTTACAGGCCTGCACCAAGGAGGCGGGAACCGTACGTCAACCTACCACTCTTCCCCACCCTCCCCCCGCCCCCTTCAATCGCAGCCCCAAGCAATGATCTAATACAGCATCAGTAACTCATGGCGGCGCCTACCCCGCGGGCGGTGGCTACTCGCATGCCGACGACGCCGACCTACGCGGCGCCGCTTCTGCCGCAGCCAAGGACGCGGACGATGGCGAGGCCTTCTTTGCCGACATCCTCGGCAAAGTACTCAAGAACAAGCAACCGTCGCAGATCGCGGAGGAGGATATCGACGAGGAGGGTACGTCCCCCGCTCCTATCCACACTTGACGACGTCTACTCACCCACCCTACAGACGCAGTCCAATCGCACCGCAAACTCTTCGGCCTGGGCTCCTTCTCCTCCGCCGCCGAGCCTGTCTCGTCCTCCTCCCTGGGCAGCGCCGCGGCCATGCAGGCGCTGAAGATCTTCACCTCGGGCGAAACCACGCCGCAGTCCCAGAGCCAGAGCGCCTTTGTCGGGCTGGCCATGGCGCAGGCCGCCAAGCTGTTTGATGCGCAGGCGTCGCAGGGAAATATCGCGCCGGGCGCGGATAAGCAAAGCGCTGTTATGCAGGCTGGAGAGCTGGCGCTCAAGATGTACCTGAAGAGTCATGGGAGCCAGGGAGGAGGCGCTGGTGGGGATGGGGGAGTTGGCGGGTTGTTGCAGTTGGCCGGGAAGTTCATGAAGTAACTTACGTCTTTTGATGAGGCGAAGAACCCAAGTAGGGATGCCATTTTTTTTTTTCTTCGGAGCTTGAGTTGGCAACTATCCTCTCAGTTGATTCAAGTACTGTGTTTGCCCGACCCTACTCTTCAGTAGGTCCATTCCTGACGAGGGAGAAAGTTTTCGGTGCCGATGGTTGCTCGCGCCGTCATCTCGAAGTGAGCATGATCGGCATGGGATCTAAACAGGTATGTGGCAGGAATGAATCTGATTGACGACAAGAGCAGTAGGTCCCCTTCATCCCTTTTCTAGGTTGACATTGTGGCGGTTGACTCTTGTCTGAGAATCCCACGAAAGAGAGGTTTCCTTTCCTAGAACGGACGCCAAGCGCTCTGCGGAGTTGACTCTACTCGTGCACGGATCTGCAGCGTGCGTTATCTCCAGGTGCGCAAGTCTCCGGCGACCCAAACCCAAACCATCACAACCACCACCGCATCAAGTCATTGCAGTCAGCCGCGCAACCATGGTGTACCGCTGGGAGCAACATCGGCAGACCTGCTATCGCCTCTATGTAGAGGAGAACAAGTCGATTGATGAGGTGGTGCATTACATGCGGGAACACCATAACTTCACTCCGAGGTGGGTTCTTCTGTCAATACCTTACTGTCTTTCTCACCGTACTGTATCTCCTCTCCTCCGTACTGCTGCTTCAGCATGGCCATGACCCACCGTACCAGCAGCAAACCACATCTCGATCTTTATATGAGTGGCAACTGACTATGCAACCTCTGCAGCCGACGCGCGTTCCAGGGAGCATTCTCCCGGTGGGGATTCCCCAACAAGTTGAACCCCGCCTACAAGAACGAGCAGCTCGTCGCGCGTGTGAAGGAGCTATGGGAGCGCAATTTCTCCCAGAAGGACATGATCTCGACCCTCGTCAGTGAGGGCTACGATGTCGGCGAGCGGGAAGTGACTCGCATCCGGTTCAAGCACGGATGGATGCTGCGCGCCAACAACCCGTCCATTGCACGGACTGGGAGTGCCGAGGATTGTGACGATGCAGGGCATGCCGAGCATGGCGGTCCCAACCATGAGAGTGAGAATCCCGGCGTTCATGAAGACCAGAGTAATTATTGGAATTATGGAGTGGGCCCGCTGGAAACCCCTGATGTCCAGGTTCAAGAGGAGACCCTCGAGGCCATGCGCGAGGCTCGAAGGGAATACCGGAAGCGGCAACTCGAGGCTGAGAACGAAGAGAGGTGGATGACCAAGAAGCGGCGGCGCCATACCAGGGCATACGGCATCCTGCCCCCTGACCCGCCGGGGGTCCCACCACGCTTCCCGTCTGAGACGACACTCACCGAATCCAAGCAGATACTGCAGCTCGACCCTGAGGCCTACAAGGCGCTTCGGGAGAAGTTCTACTCCATCTGCGTGAATGCGGGCGTCTACAAGAAGACGCTCGTTGGTCCGGAGAGGTGGGAGGCGCTCAAGGAGCAGCTGATCCGCGAAAGCATGCACCTCCGGGCCGTCATGTGGGACCAGACCGACATTGACAAGAAGAATCTTGCTGTCGAGATTATTGCCTGCGATGTCACCAAGAGGATCAGGGTCGAGTCCACCGCCATGCATGTGGCCGACGCCAAGGTCATCCTGGGACTGAACCCGGACCAGGGCTACGCTGTCCGCACCCGGATGTACAACCTCTTGGCTCAAGAGAAGTTCACCAACAAGTTCGAGGAAGGATTTGACTACTTTGAACAGCTCAAGCAGAGGTGGATTGCCGAGTCCCCGGAGCTTAGCGGAGTCGTTGCGGCCGGCCCGGCAGATCCCGACTACCAGCGCAAGATGAAGGCCATCAACGTCCTCTGCCGTGACGCTACAAGGCGGTACCGCAGCGATGCGGCTCGCCTAGGACGGACGCCGGATGTCAAGCCGCCGACTCAGAAACCCGCGACGCCTAAGCCGCGCAAGAAGGCGACTCCCAATCCGTCAGCGAAGGCTGCGGGCAAGGAGCCGGCCCAGGCAGCATCATCACACACGCCGGCATCCGAGATCACCGACACAGACTCGCAAGCAACAGAGTCACCCCCGCCACCACCTCAGCCCCGCCGGCGTGGACGCCCCCCTGGGTCGCGCAACAAGAAGTCGCTGCCACATGTCGAATCTCGCCTGGTCCTGGCAGACGTTGAGGAACCCCGAGAGGGTCAGCAAATGGTAGACCCGCAGCTTCGCGCCAGCGTGCTCGCTGCGTCCCAGAACCAGGACCCGTTGCTCGACGGGCAGTATGGGCATGGATACGCAGCACCACAGCACGCACAGGTCTTCCAGCAGCCGCAACAGCCACAACCACAGCAGCATCAGCAGCAAGCAACACCGGCACCAGCCTCATCCGGCGCCATCGCCGCCTTCTTCCGGCTCAACCCCGCGCAGGCGGCCATGTTCCCGGGCGTCCCGGCGCAGTGGATCAGTCCGCTCAGCTCGCGGACCATGGCCGAACTGCGGAGCGCGGCCAGGCAGAAGACGCCTGGCGCTCTCTGCTACAAGATTGAGGGCATCGTCAAGGATGGCAAGGGCGGCGAGCTGCCGCTGCCGGTGAGCGACGAGGTCGAACTCGAGACATATCTGCAACATGTCCAGGGTTTGGGCCATGGGGCACCGACGTTCAATGTGCATGTCCTGCCTGGGGTGGGAGGGCAGTGAGGGATGGGTATCTTGGTGGTTGTCCGAGGGTAAGAAGAGGGCTATGGATAGAGTGGTAAGTTGCTTTCTCGATGGCTTGACTTGCACAGGCTGGATTGTGGGAGTGGGTGGCAAGAGGCTGCTGCATGCAATCTCTTGCATCTATTAGGTACCTCGGACTCAATTGAAGCGATACTCTTCAGAATACCGATGACAAGGCGTAATGATTGGTAGGTGGTGTGTGTGGACGCATCGGACTCGGAATGCCGTCTTTCGAGGAAGGACTAACGGGCCCTTGCTCAGCGGCCATTGCGGGGCTCCACTGTGCCGGGAGATTCAACTCTTTTTCTTCTTCCGATCGTCAGCTCTCAATCCTTGGCATCTCGGGTTGACAACCCGGACTATCGAAGAACAAGAGACACACGACTCGGCATGCGACCCAAATAGCTCCCAGCCACGAACGCGACGCAATTCCATCCCACCCATACCGATTCAAGCCATGTCGCGGCTTACGGGCAGAATGCCCAAAGGCTTGGGACAGAGCTGGACGGCTCCTGCAGCTGCCGTAGTCCGCCGCCAGACCTGCCTCGCCGTCCGCACCGTGCCAGCCCGCTTCTCGTCCACCGAAAGCAACAAGCCCAAGTCGACCGGGCCCTCCTTCAAGGGCCAGTTGACCCACAGCATTATGAAGCGTCTCGAACGCGAGCGGGCAGACCTCGAGCGCATGGCCAGGACCCGGCCCGAGTCGACGATGGCCAGAAACTTTAGCATCACTTTCGGTAGGCATCTCGTACGCTTACATTGCCCGATGCGCTCTCTGATCGCCGCTTGCCAGTCATCTTCTTTGTCGGCTCCGTCTCCTGGTTTTTGGGCTACCAGTACCCGCGCGATGTCGACCCCAATTCGACCTTGCCGCTGAATGCCACGCGCCCGCCCAGCTACAAGCTCAACCCGGCCCACCTCGAGGCCGCCTGGGCCGACTTTGTCGAGATTGTGGGCCAGGACAACGTGAGCACCGTCGAGGACGACATCAAGCAGCACGCCACGTCGGAGTGGTCGTCGCACCAGCCCGACCCGGCCCACAAGCCCTTCTGCGTCGTCTACCCCTCGACCACGGAGCAGGTCGCCGCCCTCATGAAGATCTGCCACACCCGGCGCATCCCCGTCGTCGGCTACAGCGGCGGCACCAGCCTCGAGGGCCACTACACCCCGACCCGCGGCGGCATCTGCGTCGACTTCAGCCGCATGAACAAGGTTCTCGCCCTGCACAAGGACGACCTCGACGTGGTCGTGCAGCCTGGCGTCGGCTGGGAGGACCTCAACGAGCAGCTGGCCGAGCACAACCTCTTCTTCCCGCCCGACCCGGGCCCCGGAGCCCAAATCGGCGGCATGATCGGCACAGGATGCAGCGGCACCAACGCCTACCGCTACGGCACCATGCGCGAGTGGGTCCTGTCGCTGACGGTCGTCCTGGCCGACGGCACCGTCATCAAGACGCGCCAGCGGCCGCGCAAGAGCAGCGCCGGGTACGACCTGACCAAGCTCTTCATCGGGTCCGAGGGCACGCTCGGGCTCGTCACCGAGGCGACCCTCAAGCTGTGCGTCAAACCTGCCGCCGCATCCGTTGCCGTCGCGAGCTTCCCCTCGATTCGGCACGCCGCCGATTGTGTGGCGCGCGTGGTGGGCGACGGCATCCCCGTCGCGGCCGTCGAAGTTCTGGACGATGACCAGATGCGGTTTCTGAACGGCTCCGGCGGGACCTCGCGCACATGGCGTGAGGCGCCGACGCTGTTTTTCAAGTTTACGGGAACTGCGGCGGGGGTGAAAGAACAGGTCGAGATTGTGCGGAGGCTGGCGACGCGCGCGGGCGGGCAGAGTTTTGAGTTTGCGAGGGATGATGACGAACAGGCGGAGCTGTGGTCGGCTAGGAAGGAGGCGCTGTGGAGTACCATGGCGCAGAGGCGGCCCGGCGACCATGTCTGGACGGGGGACGTCGCGGTGCCGATGAGCAGGCTGCCGGATATTATTGAGGAGACGAAGCGGGATTTAAAGACGTCTGGGCTGACAAGCTCGATTGTGGGGCATGTCGGGGATGGGAATTTCCATAGTACGTTTTTTTCCCCTTTCTTTCCTCCCGCTCACCTTCCAGACGCAGTGCGGTGTGGTGATGACCGAGGACTGATTGGGTACGGTAGTTATCCTGCTCTACAACGACGGGGAGCGCAAGCTGGCCGAGGACTGCGTCCACCGCATGGTCAAGCGGGCGGTTGAGATGGAGGGGACCGTGACGGTGAGCTAGCCTTACCCTTCGAAGAAGTTTGTGAGATTCCAACTGACGCTTGGACAGGGCGAGCATGGCGTCGGGCTCGTCAAGCGCGATTACCTGCCTCATGAGCTGGGCGAGACGACTGTGGATGCGATGAGAAAGGTATGGAGCGATGTCTTCTACGGAAGTGTACTCCTTGGGAAGAGCCCGCAGCTGACCTTTGGATTATCCCGTCTGTCTAGATCAAAGCCGCCTTCGACCCGCTCTGCCTGCTCAACTGCGACAAAGTTGTGCGTGTGCAGAAGCCCAAGCGTGGGGAGGTGGCTGAGTGGTGATAAACCGTGTCTGTATTATTTACCTCGCTCCTTCTTCCATGTGTTCAATCGTATACCCTTCCTATCTCATGAGGAATCTCACGGAGGGATGTCCGCTGCCGAGCGTGGATTGGGGGGTATGCTCTGCAAGATGCTCTATAAGCGGCAATGTCGTATATGCTCCAGGATATACCAACCATTTGAGTGATGCAAAGGTTATGTCACGGCTCTGCTTGAGCAGTGTTGCTGCTGCTCTCCAAAGCAAGTGGCTTGCCGTGGACGCTGACGGTGCGTCTCTCGGTCCTTTATCTCCGGACCCGGTATCCTTCGGTGTCCCTTTCTTGGCTGGTCAGCTGCTTCCCGGCGCGGCTTCGAAGCCATGTGTGCGACGGCATGAACTCACAGCGGCTGCGAGTCCTAGACTCGAGAATCGGCGTGGAGATGATTGACTGTAGGATGCCGTCCAGATGGGCTCGACCGGGCGATCCGCGGAACCCTTCCGGAATGGGCAGTTGATTTGCCCGAAAGATGAGCTACAATGCCTCGCTCGTGATAGCTTCCAGCATTGCTGTCTTTAGTGTCTATATCAACCAGGACACCGACAGTCAAGCATGTCTCGTCGGGCCAAGGGCCGGTAAGAGGCTACGCATGCAAACATGAACCCCGTCAATACCACGCCGTACAAACTGCCAGACGACGCAGTCTGGTTGAGTAAGTGGCCCCCAATCGCAGCCCACCGCCCTCTTCACGAATCCAACGAGAAACAGCCCGAGCCTAATTCGCCGTTACCCACCCCACACAGTAACAGGCTGCTCCTCCGGCAAAAGGCCGCGCCCTCGCGTCCCTGATCGCCAGCAAGCCGTCCCACTGCCTGAGAGCGAAGACCCGCAGCCCAGCCGACCTGTCCTACCTATCAGAGTACAACCCCAACATCCTCAAGCTCGCCCTCGACGTCACCTCCCCGGAGTCAGTAGCCGCCGCCTTCGCCTCGGCAGCATTCCACTTCAATCACCGCATCGACGTCGTCGTCAACTGCGCGGGGTACTCCCTCTCGGGTGACACCGAGTCGGCGACGGAGGGGGAGGGGCACCGCGAAATGGAGACGCTGTTTTCGGTACCGCGAGGGTCATGATGCACGCCGTGCGGGTCATGCGGGAGCGGGCTGAGAAGGTGGAGGAGCAAGGTGACGGTAAGAAGAGCGGCAAGGGCCGAGGGGGTTTGTCATCTTCAATATCTCGTCGCTTGCGGGCCTGTGCGCGTTTCCGGGGCACGCGTATTACCATGCCGGCAATTTCGCGGTCGAGTGGTTCTCGGAGAGCGTGGTCAGGGAGGTGAAGCCTGGGTGGAATAGTGAGTTAATCTCTCGTGCAAATTTCCTACCTTAGGTTGCATCAGAGTTGAGCTGACAGCTTGGGGACAGTCAACGTGCGCATTGTGGAGTCCAGCGGCGTCAAGACGAACTTTGAGGGCCACAGCAAGGCGCGCACCAAGCCGCACCCGGCGTACGCGGGCCCGGACATGCCGGCGCGCAAGCTGGATGCCTATGTCAACATGGGCATCAAGTCGGGCGCAGGCATGATGGAGCCGTCTGCAGTGGCCAAGGCCATCTATAAGGTGACCAGCCGCGGCGAGAGGATTTCTCTGATGCTGCCGCTCAGTGCGGTGGCGTGGAAGATGGCCAAGGCCCAGTTTAAGAGTCTGCTGCAGGAGTTTGAGGCCGACAAGGAGGTTAGCGGGATGGGTCAGCAGCTTTGAGGAAAGACTCGGAAGTGATGGAAACAAGTTGGTGATGCCGAGAAGGAAGGGCTTGAATTCTGAACTTAAAGCGAATTTCAAGTTACCACAGGGCGACCTTAGATTGCGAAATTTGGCTGAAAAGAGTGCAACTGACGAAACAGTTCTGAATCCGTTTGAAGTCGATTCTTTTCTTGCTCTCATGACATCCAGTCGCGGGATGCATTGGACCCTTGCAGAACCCAAGGGTGGGTGGGCAGAACCCAAGGGTGGGTGGGCAGAACCCAAGGG